ATTCTAACGCCACCTGGCGTGAATAAGCTGCGATTCAACCCACAATTTTATGCGTTAACCGAGTTATGCATTAGTCAAGAGATCACTGTAGTTTTATTTGAGGTTCATCAAGCTTAATTGTTTGGCAAGTTTCTTAAAATTGATTTTCGATCTCAGATTGATGATTAAGTTGAGTAATTAACGCGATAATAATCTTATTGTCTGTCCAATGAACAAACCTATTAGTTTGATCGGCCTGGATCCAGGTTTTGATCAGAGCTAATTACTGAACTTAATCATTAATCGACAAATCAAGTTTAGAAAACTTGCCAAACAATAAAGTTTGATGAACCTCGAATCAAATACTTAGTTGGCTATTGAATACGATCCAACCAAATATTATTGGCACTATTGCGACCAGCCTTAAGCCTGTCGTTGTTCTGGTCGTCGAAATGAGATGGACACTTGTAAGCTTCCTGGTTCGGCCAATCATGCATGCGTTTCGGGGTGTGATCCAAATTTTATTGGTAATCGACCTTACGTTCCGACTCCTGATGGACGAGCTGGTCAAAAAATGGTTCCTCACTGGCGCAAAATCAGTTGCAACGATGGTGAGGAGGAAATTACAATGAACTTCTTTTCATGTATTTGAATTTCATTTTCAAAAGCATAAAATTAAAATTAAAATTAGCATTAAAATTTAACAATTAAAACTTATCTAATCTACTTCATTTATAACAATCGTGACTTTGAGCTGAACTAAAGTTAGATTTGATCAAATTAAGAAAATAGTTATAAAGACACAGTAGTAGTTATATCGGGACATTGAGTTTAAAATAAAGTATTAATATATTAATATATAATAAATTCAAAAAGGAAGACAATGATAATACCACTTTCTTTGTCGACTATCATAAATCTAACGATAAAATGCATGCTGATAAATACCTTATGACCCTGAAGACATTATTGATTCTATCTATGGGAGTAAATTTCTCAGTGTCTTTGACATTAGATCTGGATTCTGGCACATCAAAGTACGAGAGCAGGAAATTCACAAGACCGCCTTGATTACTCAACATGGTTATCATGAATGGCTAGTGATACCCAGTTGATTTTCTATTTAAACTAGTAAATTTTATTAATGCTGATGAAATTAAAGCTGAACGATCAAAAATCAATAATATGGATTTACAAATTGCTAATGAAGCTGGAATCTGTTACAAGGTTGATAAATATGCTAACAGGAAGGTGATTCTACCTCTAACCGTGAGGTACAAGCTAATGGACGCTGTTCAACATTTAACACCAAAGTTTTAATTGATGAAATGGAGATTTTTGATTGCAATTATAAGATGATTGTAAATGAATTTAAAGAGAAGTGGAAATAATTATACTTGAACTTTAATTGTTGAAACCAAATTAAATCCCCTTCTCAAACCATAGTAAATAAAGTGACAGATTTTCAGTTGATAAACTGTCAATTTAAAGTGAGTAACAATCAATTGATGAGCGAAATTTGAACGATAACAATCAGAGAAATAAAATCAATTGGTTGATGATGATTTGTGTTTTCTAATTACTTCTTCAATCATGGTGATCGCTTCCGATGAACTTTGTGAAGTTTTCATGGTCTCAGAAATTTGAACGATTCGTTTTTTCATCTCATCATCAACAAGCGATTTCTCAATACAATCTAATAGATAATCTTCATCAAATTCCCATGGATTAACTCGGAATCCGATCTTCTTATCCACAACTCTCTGAGCATTATCCAGTTGATCAAAATAATATCCAACTACGATCAACGATTTACCATATAAAAGTGTTTCCATCAAGGTATTGTTACCGCCATGAGTTATAACCAAATCAACTGATTGAATAACCGCAATTTGATCAACATAATTATCTCCCCACATATTATCAGCTAATTTAAGTTGATCTCCTCGAAATCCTTTTGAAATGATAAATCGATGAGGTGATTTAGCAAGAGTATCAATCATCCTTTGCATTAATTGAATATCGTTTGAAGCAGTTGATCCAAGGGAAAAGTAGATCAATGAACCAGGTTTATCTTTCAGATTATCGGGTATCTCGAAGCACTTTGATTCGGAACATCTGATGAAATTATCGATTCGATGCCAACCAGGTTCAATTGGTTCACATTCGGTGTAATCAAGTTGCTTGGGATAATGATAGAAGCCGATATTGGTCAAGGGTAAGGAAAGTCGAGTAGGACGAAAGACCGGAGGTCGACCGATTTTAGCTAAATGCTCATTCATACAAGTGATGAAAACTTCATGGGAATCGAGAAGGTGATTCCTCATCTCTGCCCATAGTTTACGATCAGATGATGTTGATAAACCAAATTGAATCGGTGGTCCGTTATTGTAAAGTCCAAGTGGATTACAAGAGTGTAAGTTGATCACTGGTAGACCCGTAGAGAAAATAGCACCAGTAAGATCACAACAATCGTGAATTATGCCATCAAATTCATCGATATTCGTCCGACTAAGAAATTCTTTATGAGCTTCATGAAGAGTTAACCAAGCACTCATGTCATTCATATTCTCTTTATCCTGTTGAGTAAAATTAGTGAATCGAACCATCGGATCGCGACGAAGTTTTTCCATAGTCTTGTCGATCGTTTCAACAAGAGAATCTTCATTTTTTTCTGGAAAAAGTTCCTTTTTGAAGGCGATGAAACCGAACCCACGATTCGTAGCAGCCTTTTCGTACTTCGGTAAATGAGCAAAGGTCACTTTGTGTCCATGGCGGGTAAGAACTTCGCCAAAACCAAGTGTCACATTGACTGGTCCATATCTGCAACAGTACAAAGAGGTCAAAAAATGAGGACACGGGAATAAAATGTCGAATTATTAGTAAACTATGTAAGCACAATCAACAATGGTCAGTAAATCCTAACGATAACCATTTATATTAGTTAAAATACTCACGCATTCATAGTGGTCAAGAGGAAGTGAAAACTTGTGTTGGTCATTTTAACGATAATTTATTCAAATTAAGTTGGCGATTTACTTATTGTTGATCTAGTTTTACTGAATACAACTAGAACACAAACAACCTGTTTATTTGCAGTTCTAATTGTACAATGATAATTAAAAGCGAAATCGTTGATTCCAAGATGACTCGAATTAATGATTAAAAAGCGCCTCAAGCAATTAACTATGCGTGTTCGGAAAAATTATGGGACTTATCATTGATTTATGATTCTAACTAGTACTTGACAACATTTATCATGAAAATCACTCTGTTCTGAAGAGAAACTCGCAGCTACCGAATAATCTTTATGAAAATTTCTTTAATCAGTTTATAACGATTGAAATTAGATTAAGTAATTAAATACCTGATAATAATCTTTCAACTTTTTCTTTAGTAAGCTCATAACTTTGCAAAGAAAGATCGCAAAAATATAAATGTAATATCATGGAAAAGAAGAAAAAAATGCTATTCATTTCATTTAATCAAATATCAATTGTTTGCGAAATAATTACGATAATCTGATTGGAATAAATAATTTTCCGAGATACTCGAAAAAACTGGTTTCCTCAGGTTAACATGTAAATAACATAGAATCATAGGGTCTAAGTTTTTTTATCATCGTGTTTTCAACTTAAACTTAATAACTTTTTTGTTTTTGAATCATTAACTATAAAACTTTCGAGATATGTTGTTAAATGTTTGCATAATATTTAATTGAAAAAATCAAGACGATCGCATGAAAAGCCACTGAGATATTCTAAATTTACTAATCAGTCCCATAATTTTTCCGAACACGTTAGGTTGATTCATTTGATTCTGGTCGATCTTATTTTTGAATATCATTTTTGCTTGACCTTCAAATGAGCTGAATGTTTGTCGGTTACTAACATAGACCTTGAGCATTCACTATCAGAGATCTTCCTCTATGGCGAGATTCTATAACAGGGTCACCTTGTTTGATTTTCATCGCCCAATTTTTCACTGAGGATGGTGAGGCGGCTTCGTCTCCTAACATTTTGTATAGTTAGTTATGAGTAAAACCCGCTGATCATTCCAAAAGGCATGAAAACTTCACAAAAATCATGTTGTTTTTGATAATTTATTGAATTCATCAAAAGTTCTTTGGTAATCATTTTTAGAAAAACTTAAAATTTTCATATCTCAATGTCCGTTACTTCAAAATGGACTTAGAACAATTTTTCTACATCTTCTTAAGCTGAATTTAGAGGGTGACAAAGGCCAGAATTAAGTGAATCAACCTAATAGCTTCGATGATTGTGATGTAATCAATCAAATTGTTTCAATGTATTAATACATATTTTCCAGTGCAATTGTTATCATTTGATTGAAATCTTTTTTATCACCATCGAAATGATTAAGATACAGTTTTAATTGTATCAAACAATTGATTAAAACTAAAGGGTGTGTAGTTTAAAAAGTTCCCTTTTTGAGATAAGAAAATAGCAGAGGCAAAGGGTAAGAAAAAAATTTTATCTAACCTTTTACTTGTTATTTTCTTATCTCAAAAAGGGAACTTTTTAAACTACACACCCTTTATTTGACAAGACAGTTGATTTAACAATGAAAACATTTCAGAATTAATTATAAAATGTCAATGATATTAACCAAAGAGTAATTAAAGTTAATTTTAACCTTAAGCAACGACAATTAACTCAAAATACATGTAAAAGGTTACATGTTAATTGAATCCACCAATTATTAATAATTAACTCAAGCATCATTTTCACAATTTTGATTAGTCTAATTAACTTTTTGTTTTCCTGATGAAACCAAACAATCAAATGTAATGTAATAAAACTTTCATTTTTCATCGTTGATTATTTCTAAATTGTAATTAGTCAACATGAAGATAATAAAATCGAGAGAATAATTAAATTTATCTAACGCGCTGGAACAGCAATTAGACGATAATGTTAACCAATAGAATCCAATGGAAATTGAATTGTTGGTAAACAAAAGAGAAAAACAATTGATTGTTTTCAATGGAAAACTAAACTAATCAAGTTAATAACAATCAAGAGAAAATCAATTGATTGAATGGTCGATGTGTAGATTAATCGAACCACGTTGAGCAAACTCCATAGGAAGAAAATCAGTGTTATGGTTTTTACTTCATTCTCTTCATCACCTTGTCATCCATTTCCAACGTAAACAATCAAAAGAATCTCTTTCATTTCTCTTTCTTTTTCTCTTTCTCATCTTCTTCTTTCTATTTCTTCTCTCTCTCTCTCTCATTCACATTTTGAGTCACTTTTATTATTGTTTTCTTTTAGGTCTTCGCATCAAAAACATCTCTCTCTTCACCGGATTCTATTCGTCAACCAAACAAATATATTTCCAATTCTCTCCATCTTTCCAATCATCAAACTCTTTCATCTTATTCATCATCACCATCATCTTAATCATCACCAATTAATTAATCCAACAGTAAACAATGGCTGCTCTACTACAGACCTTAAGTGGTAATCCATTACAAACACCAATCGGCCAGAAAATAGGTAACCTACTCACCTTTTTTTATCTTTTCATTTATATTTCTGTTATTTTCACTTAATTACGTCTTATTTCAACAATTAATCTTTGAACAATTACAATTAATCAACCGTATATTGTACTTAAACTGTTTAATTAATTATGGAGCGACGAAAAAAACAACCAAAAGCTTCATCACTTAGCAAAAGAAAACAAAAATCTCCATCAGCTCATTTTTAGATTGTCATGTTTTGTTTACATATTTTCACAGTTAATCATCATCTTAACTAATCAATATTATTTCATTTTCTACTCAATTAATTAAAGAACAAGCAACCGAATCAAATTTACCTTCCGAGGATTGGGCTTCCTTCATGGAGATTTGTGATATGATCAATGATACAGATGAAGGGTAAATATTATGATTCTTTCATGATTATTTGCATGTTTCTGAGACCTTGAGACTTATGAGTTTATCTTTCAAGAGACAATTAGATAATCACTTAATTTACTTTTATCAATTAATCAATTCTAATTATCCTTCCTTCTCTCTCTCTCTCTCTCTCTCTCTCTCTCTCTCTCTCTCTCTCTCTCTCTCTCTCTCTCTCTCTCTCTCTCTCTCTCTCTCTCCATAGACCCAAGGATGCAGCTCGAGCAATTAAGCGACGACTTCAGCAAAATGCTGGAAAAAATCATGTCACCGTTATGTATACACTAACGGTGAGTAATTATTAAGCTGATTAAGAGTAATTATCGATGATGATTAACTGATTAATTTCCTTCTAATTACAGTTACTGGAAACTTGTGTTAAAAATTGTGGAAAAAGATTCCACACTCTTGTTACTAGTAAGGATTTCGTTCAAGATTTGGTTAAGTTAATTGGTCCAAAAAACGATCCACCTCCGGTTCTTCAAGAAAAGGTAAATCACCTAATTGGATTAATCAATTTCCAATTATATTCTGTATTTCAAATCAACTGTTCAACTGGATTCTTATTGTTTTATATATATAATATTTTTCCGATTAATGTGATAACTGATCCGGACAATTTACTTGTAACGTTACTTTAATCACTGACAATCAACTTGAGAAACATTTAACAACATAACCTTTCAACATTTCACCTTGTTAACCATTTCTTTTATCCAATTGTTTACCTTTTCCGTTCATGATTGTTTACAATTTAAGTTTTCCCTTTTCAAATTAACTATTCTTTTTTTTTTTAATTCTTTCTTCCAAAATTTCACTTTCGATCAGTTGTTGTTTTATCCTCAATTTTTTTGTTCCTTCAAATCGGTTGTTCAATTGACACCAAAGTAACTTTGATCTTAATCTATTATTATTATTATTGTTTTTTACTTCTACTTTTGGTCTTTTTGATTACAGGTTTTAAATCTCATTCAAACTTGGTCTTTAGCATTTCGAGGACAACCAGAATGCTCCGGAGTTGTTCAGGTGTATATCGATTTGATGGCAAAAAAGGTTGAATTTCCAGTCACTGATCTTGAGTCAACTGCACCAATCCACACTCCTCAACGAAGTGTACCACCATATCAACGAAAGGCGACCAACGAATCAATTGTAACAACTGGATCACCTACTAATGCATCAAGCAATTCATTGCTAAATCGTTCACTACCAACAAACATTATCTCAGGATCATCAACAGCAACATCAACATCATCATCGTTACCTTCATCAACCACAACAACAACAGCCCCATCCTTAGCCGCTACCGGTATATCAACAACAATCGGTGCTCCTGGATCATCACCAATTAGTTCATTTCATCATCATCATAACATGTCTACTGGTGGACAAGTAAATCATAGTCCAGATCAGTTGATTAAACTGAAAAGTGAATTGGATGTTGTTCAAGGGAATATAAAAGTCTTCCATGAGATGCTCAATCAATTGATTCCAGGTAAAGAGCATCCAGATGATTTAAGTTTACTTTGTGATTTAAATACAACATGTCAAGCGATGCAAAAAAGAATCGTTGAACTGATTGAAAAAGTGGCCAATGAAGAAGTGACCAATGAGCTATTGAGAGTTAACGATGACCTTAACAATGTCTTTGAACGTTACGAAAGATATGAAAGGAAACGATCCAATGCTTCATCGTCAACATCAACAACTTTCCCGAAATCGAAGGCTTCAGAACCAAGTTTAATTGATTTAAGTGTCGATGAGACAATACCAACGGTAGATCTGTTATCCAAAGGAGTTCAAGGAATAAGTTTATCAAAAAATGTCAAGGTAATTGTCTCAAGATGATTGATTCTCTCTTGACTAATTCACTGATGGATTAATCAATTTTTGTTTTCTTTTCATGTTTCTCTCTCTCTTTTTTTGTATAGTCAAGTAATTCTGGTGCTGAAGAATCTGCTGGTTTGGGTGATGCTGATTTCGACTCTTTTGCTCAATCTCGAACGTCTCTTGGCCGAACTGAGCCGAAAACCGTTGAACCAACAGGATTAGATTCTCTTGAAAATGCCGTTCGCTCGAGCGGAGGTCCACCCGATTCTCTTAATAGTGAAGGAAAATCTCTTATGGTAAGAAATTGATATTATCACGAGATCAAGACATTATCATAATCTGTTTGTTTCTATTTCAATAGTTGGACAGTGTTCGTGATTTAGTTGAAATGGAAAATTGGTTACGTGAACAAAACGCTTCCGCTAATTTGGGAACAACAACAACCACAACCACGAACACATCGACAACACAACAAACCGGAGGTGATTTTAGCTTCGAAAAGTTTCTAACCGAAAGAGCCGATGCCAGAGATAAAATGTTCAAACAATAATTCCAATTGATTGTGAACAAAATCAAGAACCAATATAAATAATCAATAGAAACAAAAAACACTTTCTTCATTATCCATTGTTGATCATCATCTCCAGCGATTCCTGTAATTGGTACCGAAGATTATCATGATCACCATTGGGATAATCTATTGTTTACTTGAAAGAACTTATTTAATGAATGACAATTTAATGGATCTATGATGTTATATCAAAAATTTATCTCTTCTACAATTTGGATAACGTTAATTTTAATTTTCTTTTCTTTCTTGTAAAGTCAAAATTCAAGAGTGATACTGAAATTATCTTCATCTTACCTGAGAATCTTGTATTAACTTCCCATGTGAGCATGTGAAGAATTTAATTGGAATTAATCACAGTTAATCAATTCCCTTCTTCTTAAAATAATCTCTCCTTTCTCTATCAAGAAATTTGCCTACTAATTAATACGATCAATTATCAAATTTCATACACGATTTTGTAATCCAAATATTTTATTCCTTTAATTGTTGTTATGTATTTAACGTGAGACCTTCCCGATAGTTTAGTCAATTAGAATCACTAAATATGCTTGTGAATGTATTAATTATATTGATTGAAAGAGAAAAGGACTAAATGATTTATGAGGAAAATCATTTACATTGATTAACTTTACTTCTCAATACAATTTAATGAAACTTATCTTTCTGTTCCTAATATTAGTTAAATTGCACAAATTAATTTAAATAAATGATTTTAATAATTTGATCACTTTGATTTTACTCTTATTATATTACAAATTAATTGTTACCGTGGTTTCGATTATAAATTATTGTAAATTAATGACTATTGGTAAAAATAAAACGTTGATAAAGTAACGAGAAAATGGTTAAATTCAAATGTAGAAATAGATGATTAATTGATTGTGAGTTTGCAATTGGGTTAAACAGAAGCCATTCTGGTTGATTGGGGTTAATTTTTTTATGATTTATCGATAATTAACTTTGTAATCATCTTTTTTTTCTCACTCGCTTCTTAAGATCTTGGAAATTTGCGATCTCTCTTGAGTATTTACAGTTGGATTATTGGATTTGGTTCTTTTAGCGAATAGAATAAGATTGTTTTCTGAGTAGAAATCGGGAATGATTTGTGTAGATTAAATCACAAATTGGAAAGAAAAAAAAAATGATTTCACTTTAAGTGATTCAGCTACTTGTAAGTAGAGAAATAATTAAACAATAAAGGTAAATGAAAAAGTGAACCAATTGAAAACAAAGATGAACAATGGAATGAGTTGTGTACTGTTTCAAGTTCCCTCGGTGATAAATTTCCGTTGGATCAAAAAGTCCCATGTTTCCTTGTGGCACTGAACAGTATCTAAATTAACAGAAATCAGATTAATTAGTTAAATAAAAAGACACCTGTAAGTTAATTGTAATAGTATTTGAAAAGTCATTGATTGAATCTGTTTCTCTCAATTTTTGTTGACAAAAAGACAACACAATTCAATCAATCATCCACTATCATGTACTACCAATCATGATTGTCATCTTTTCCATTTAACTTACCTGTAAATCATCCACAAGGTTAAAGGAGCATTGAAAATGAACAAAATCCAATGACCGGTCAAAAGAAGAGCAATTGTTATGATCCCATGACCGAATATTTCTAATTTAACAAGTGGATTAAGTTTATTACAACAATCGCGAGCGTTGATATAATCACATTCCAAATCTGAAAGGGTAATAATCTAAAACGAAAATAACAAATCAAACACATTAAAACAAATTATTCGATTCGAGAGAGAGAGAACAAAAAACAATAGAAACCAAAAAAGAGAATAAAAAAAAGCAAAAATTAAAAGAGAGAAACTTACAAAATAAATAGAGAGAAAAAGTAAACATCCAGTGTCAGCGATTGCGAATGCAAACAAAAGCGATTCCAAATTCATTTTGTTAATTAGTGTTTAATCAATTGGTCCAAAATGTTAATCACTTTAATTGTTGAAAATTGAAACAAAAACAAAATGAATTCAAGTGACTAATGAGAGAGTAAGTGTCATGCTCATTACATTGAATTCTTGGCGTTGATTTGAAAAACGCGCGAGAAACTCGGTTGCCAATGGAAACCAAATTAAAGGGAAAATCATCTAATTAAACTTTGATCAATGAGTCTTTTTCTTAATCTGTAAACAATAATTTTAATTTCATTTTCAATATTTTATCATTTTGATTGTAATCAAGTGGATTTGTTTTAATTGTTTTACTTTTTTTTGTGACTGTTTATTTTAGCCATTCTAAAGGATGGCTTCTCGGCAAAGTTGCCCTAAATGTGGCTCAAGTGATTTGGAAACTGATGCTGCCAGAGGTGACACTGTTTGTACTAATTGTGGTTCAGTTCTTGAAGATAATTTAATTGTAAGCGAGGTTCAATTTCAAGAGGGTAGTCATGGTGGTTCCAATATTATTGGACAAACCATTTCGGTTGATAATGGGTTTCAAGGTCTTTCCATGGGAGGTATGATGGCCACTGGTAAAGAATCAAGGCAAATAACATTAGATCGAGCTAGGAAAAGGATCAAAGCAATCGGTGCATCTTTAAGCCTTAACAATCATTGTATGGACATGGCTTTCAATTTCTATAAGATGGCTTTGAGTAAACGTTTAACTTGTGGTAGGAAAAATAATCACGTCATCGCTGCTTGTATTTATATTACTTGTCGTGTGGAATGTACTTCACATATGTTACTCGATTTATCTGATTTGATGCAGGTAAATGTCTATGAACTTGGACGAACCTATTTAAAGTTATCTGGTGCTCTCTGTTTAAACATTCCTGTTCTGGATCCATGTTTGTATATTGTAAGATTTGCCCATAAATTAGGTTTAGAGGAAAAGACTCATGATGTCGAAATGACTGCTCTTCGTTTAGTTCAAAGGATGAAAAGAGACTGGATGGACACCGGTCGCAGGCCTTCAGGACTTTGTGGAGCTGCTTTACTTGTGGCTACTCGATTGAATAACATTGAACGATCGGTAAAGGAAGTTGTTGATATTGTTAAAGTTTGCGAGACAACAATTAGGAAACGTTTAAATGAATTTAGTGATACACCAACAAGTAAATTAACTTTAGATGAGTTCATGACGGTTGACCTGGAAGGAGAGGAAGATCCTCCTTGCTACAAAATGGCTAATAGGAAAGCAAAATCGATTGTGGAAGATAAAAAGCAATTGGAAGAAGCGGAAACTCAGGTGGCCAAAATTCAACAGCAAATAGAGGAAAAATTGGATAGTTTAAGGAAAAAATTTCGTTCACCTTATGTCACATTGGCAGATATTGAAGAGCTTGCACCTAAACGTAAAACTGTCGGAGATGAAGGAATAGAAGACGATTACGTGGATGTAGAAGAAGTTATTGAGAAAATAGTGGAAGAAAATCATTTCAATATAATCAGAGAAATTGTTGGACAAGATAATCCTCAAGCTGATTCTTTCCTTCAACAACTTCAAACTTTCAGGCCAACAGCCGCTAGTCTAGGAATTAGAGAATCTTTAAATTTAGGATTTACCAATGGATCAGATGAGGAAAATGGTGATATGATCAATCAAGAAGATGATGTAGATAATGAATATGACGAAGATACTGACATTGATGATGAAGAAAATAATTCAATCAATTTACCAACTTCAGAAGATAATCAAAGCTCATCCGAATCTAAAGAATCGGGAGTCTTAGATTTAGAAGGAATTGACGATACTGAATTGGATAATTATATTCTATCATCTGCAGAAATTCAGGCGAAAACTAAATTATGGTATTCGGCGAACGCTGAATACTTAAAGGAAATGGAAGAGAAAGAGAAACGTAAAGCTGAAGAAGAAGCCGAAAGAGCCAAAAAGGAGAGTTTAGGTGAAGTTCAACCGAAAAAGAAACGTAAAAGCAAAAAGAAAACACCAATTGAGGCCAACACGGCCGGAGAAGCGATTGAAAAAATGTTAGAAGAGAGAAAACTATCAAATAAGATTAACTATGATGTTCTAAGAAGATTGTAACATTAACCTTGTAAATAGAAACAAAATTATTTTATATCTTGTAAAAAAAGAAAAAGAAAAATATCATTTTGACAAAAAATCTTTTGTTTACCTTTTTTGTTTTCTTCTTTTCCATTAAATGTCTAAAGTTAAATCTCTTTAAAAGAGCCAATGGATTAATTTGTTTTCTTGTTTTCTAAATTTTTGATCATTTGTTTTTCTTGTAAACGAAAATGTTGAAAATTATTGTTTCATTTGTGATCATTTGTTATTAGAAATTTGTGATTTATTCTTGGGGGAGGTTCACTTGTTGCTATTTCATTCTAGTTATGCTAATTAGTGAAACTCTCTCTCTCTCTCTCTCTCTCTCTTTCTCTCTGTTCTCAAATTGTTGCTCATCTAAATCTTGTTTATCTTCCTATAAGGGATAAGGGATTTAACTATTGTCATCAATTCAAGTTCTGGGTTTGTGTTTACATTTATGAGCTTTATATGTGGTACCGATGGTTGAGAATCCATTTTGAGTAGATTTTGGTTTAAAGATATGTTTATGTTGGTGGTGGTAATTTTTTTTAATCAATTGATAGTTTAATTACTAATTTTCACAAAAATTCATAAATGAGAGAAGGGTAAAGAGGGAGAGGGAGAGAGAGAGAGTGTGTGTGTGTGTATGTGTGAGAGAGAGAGAGATTGGAGAAAAGGGTTCTCAGATATAGAGAGAAGAGCGTAAGAGAGTGAGAGAAAGAGAGGAAGAAAGAGAGACAAAGAAGACAAAGAGAGATAAAGGAGAGAGATTTTGTATGGCGGTGTTGTATCAATTTTCCACCGAAAAAAGGAGATAAAAGCGTTAAACATTGCAAAATAACGACAATTAGAGAATAAGACACTTCGTCCTTTTCTTTCTTTTGGTCTGGAGAGCAGCTCTGGTTGCTGTCTCAAACACTTCACGGACACCTTCCTTCGTTTTAGCGGAGCATTCCAAATATCCATAGGCGTTAATCTTTTCAGCCATAGCTCGGCCTTCCTCTGGAGTTACCGGCTTCTGTTTCATTTTTGATAGCTCTTTAATAGTGTGGCTATCATTTCGCAGGTCCTTCTTATTTCCAACAAGTATTATGGGTACATTTGGGCAAAAATGCCGTACCTCGGGTGTCCATTTTTCCGGAATATTTTCCAAACTGTCTGGACTATCAATTGAGAAGCACATTAAGATGACATCAGTGTCTGGATAGGAGAGAGGTCGTAGCCTGTCGTAATCTTCCTGTCCAGCAGTGTCCCATAATGCTAATTCAACCTTGAATTGAATTGAAGGAGAGAGAAAGAGAAAGAGAAGATAAAAGATAAAATAAAACAAAACAAGAAAAACAAAATGTCAAATTAGAAAATTGTATCCTCTTTTCAACAAACAAACAAAAAAGAAGAAAAAAAATAAGCAAAGGTCTTAAAAGGAAATGTTGAATCTAAACAGAATAGCAGAATATACATAAAAATAAAAGGAAAGATAGGATGAGTAAAGAGAGAAGAGAAACAAAAAAAAAGAGAAGAAGATAGAATAGAAAATCTATTTTACCTGTTTACCATCAACCTCAATGTCAGCAACATAATTCTCAAAAACAGTTGGCACATAGACCTCAGGAAATTGATCCTTACTGAATACAATTAATAGGCAAGTTTTACCACACGCACCATCCCCAACGATGACCAATTTTTTTCGTATTGCTGCCATAATAATAAAATAACTGAATGGCGGTTAGAAAAAAAACACAGATGAGAAAAAAAAAGAAATAGAAAAAAAAGAGAAAGTAATAGAATTAAAATGGGGACTACAAGGTGTGGTCTTTGTATTGAAAGGTGAAAATGAATTCACTCTGCTGCCATACAGCGTCTAAATACTCAAGAAAAACAAGTTAAAAGAGAATAATTTAATTTTCTTTTATTAATTGTTCTTCTGGTGGTTCACAGTTTATTTAGAAAATAGAAAATAAATTAAAATACTCACCTTAGAATACTAACAAATTGAGTAACAATAAAACTACTTGTAGATAAAATTACCTTAAACAATCAAAATAAATTTCACCGTAAATGCAGTGAATACAAACTGAAAGATTTTCTACAAACTCTCTGTCTATTTCTCTGTCTATTATTCGTCTTCTTGACAGTCTCACAAATGGAAAACACAATTTGTAGATTAGTTAATGTTCCCCTTGTTTTGGAACATTTTTTTTCGGTTTTCGTTAATTGTTTGAGATTTTGACTTCATTCGGTTGATTGTTTAATTTTATATTCGTTTGATTGTTTTACTGTTTCTGATTTGTTCCTTTTTGTTGAGTTATTTCTGTTTCCATCATTAGGGTGTTTAATATTCGTTTGTTGTCAATGGCTTGGAAATGTTCTGGAAGGGACAATATTAATTTGATTGAGAATTTAAAGAGAAATGGAATCATTACTTGTGATCGAGTTGAAAGGTCAATGTTAGCGGTTGATCGGTCCAATTATTGTCAATCTAATCATTTCACTGATGCTCCACAAAAGATTGGATTTGCTGTTACCATTTCAGCTCCTCATATGCATGCTTATGCTTTAGAGTATTTTAAAGATCATTTGGTTGAAGGTGCAACTGCTCTCGATGTTGGTTCTGGTTCGGGTTATTTAACTGCTTGTATGGCTCATATGGTTGGTCCAACTGGTAAAGTCTATGGAATTGATCATATTCCTGAACTAGTTGAACAATCAAAGGTCAATATTGAGAAAGATTCACCTGATTTACTTTCATCTGGTAGAGTTACATTAATTGGTATGTAATTAAGATTTTATATCAATAAGTTTATTTCTTTTGTAATTTTCCTTTTTCCTTTTTCATTTATTATGTTCATTAACTAGTTGGTGATGGTCGTAAAGGTCATCAACCAGGAAGTCCATATGATGCTATCCATGTTGGTGCAGCAGCTCCAGTTCTACCTGAAGATGTAAGTTACAATCAATGACCATCAATCTGAAATTGTGTTAATTTTGAACCTTTTTCGTTTAATTCTACAGCTTGTTAATCAATTGAAACCCGGTGGAAGATTAATCATACCTGTTGGTCCAGAGAAAGAAGGACAAAAATTAGAACAAATTGATAAATTACTCGATGGAAGTGTCAAACGAACTACAGTTATGAATGTCATTTATGTCCCATTAACTGATCGAGAAGCTCAATGGCCAACAAAGAAATGAATGTTGCTAAAAGAAAACAATTTTAAACATAAATTTTGGCGACAATAAACTACTCAGTCAATGTAAATCATTATTCTATTAATATCCTGGTGTTATGATCGGTCCATCGGTTGATCCAAAATTGAAAATGACAAAATGACAAAAAGAGTTGATCAGTTTTTTACTTGTGAAAGACAATTCGAAACTATTTAATTTAGTCGCAGAAATTTAGGTAGATAATAGTATTAGTACATTGAAAAAGAAAAGTTGACAATCAGTTGTCTTGAGGAAGTAAAAAGTGAAACAATTGATTAATTTTTGGTTTTTTCGCAGGGAATCCAATTGGAAGGATTGTATCGATTAATCAAATATTGAATGACTTGATTATCGTTAAATCGGCCTCGAGTCCAACAATTGGAACATTGAGTTTGTAAAGGAAATTGGACTTTTGGAAAGAACGGATCTTGAGTTGGATCGCCGGCGATTCTTTTGTTGACTGAATTGTGAACAGACCAAAGATATCGAATAGATGAAAATGGATCCGATTGATGAATTACTTGGAACATGTCGATTGTCTCATTGATGAAATGTTGTCGACACTCTTGACATGAGAAAAAGTCTCTGATGAATGAACGCATCGTAAAAGCGACCTGATGATTAGTTAATTGTCCATCAACTTGGAGATACTCGGCTACAGACAATGTGTGCCAAAGAAGCCACAAGGAACAAGTGTAACCTCGATAAATTGGATTAGATCCTCGACAAGTGATCCAATTGTTTGGCTTAGGAAGACGATGAACTTGTTGCAATTGGTTAATTTTCCTAATCAATTGGTTAACTGAAATGGAATCTAGAGAATCATTGGTTAACAATTGATTCTCATATGATTCTAGTGATTGTGATAAATGATTGAAAAAAGGTTTTCCTGTTGATGAATTAGTGAATGGAAAGTAATTAGCAATGAGATTGGTAAAATTTTTCAATGAATTAATTTTTTTCCAATGAATAATTGTCATAAATCAAAATTGACTGTCGAAATATTTAACTCATTGGTTGGTTACAACATGAGTAACAATTTAATCTTCAAGGGTAACATTTCAGAATAAGAATGACATTGATTCCTTATTTTGTTACAACAACCTCATTAATGGGTGAATCTTCAATTAATTTAGGTGCATCACTTGATAGAATACCATGTGAGGCTATAACGTATATTCTAGTTGCTCCCTTTTCTCTTGAAAATTCAGCAGCAGCAACATAATAGACAACATCATCAATCATATCTTAAACCATGATAGCGATTCGTCCAGAAACATCACCAACTACGGTAATCGGGGTTTCCTCTTTAGAAGCCAAAGTCGGCATAATATCGAGACCAGGATCTAACGGTTTGGGTGCAGGTTCCACAGTGGGTGGTGAATATCTTCCATCGACTTCATCAGATTCAGCGGTTTTCTGTGGTTCACCATGAAGAACAGCAATTCCCAAACGAAGACGCTCAGCTTATGATGACGCCTTTTCGGCTGATCCCGAATCTTTAGCCACTATCTCAGCACTTTCATAATCAGGAATAGAATCGTGAATTTATTGTGAAAGAAAGGGTGAAGCTCGTAAATGATCGTATCGTAATAGAATAATACTTTTTAATAACTGATCAAGAATGAAAAGATCTCGATGAAACTAATTTGCGTTTAAAGATCAACATGATGATCAAATTTGATTCAAATGAATGAATATGATTAAACAGAACGTAACAGCCAAATGTTTTTCTAACGATCGATCAAAATAAATGACAAAGTGACCTGAAAGTTACTAGCGCTCGTAAGAATAAATATCTGGTTGTTACGCTCTAAATATAAAAAGAATAATATAAAAAATTGTACAAAGTTAATAATTTTGTAAAGTCGATTAAGAGAAATTAAGTTGATTCTGTTAAAAATTTTCTTATGACATAATCAAATAATGGTTCCTTTTCTTGGTCCAAATCAAGGGATGAAACATAATCACCATAATCAATTAAAAATTGATACAATTGACCAGTTGTGATTTTTTTTTGTCCTAAACTGTTAACAATTAGACTCATATCAGTTGATAGTTTGGCATCACCAAAGGTAAAATACATAACATCTCGTCCCGATAATGAAGCAGCAATTAACTGTATTAGAGACTTTAATTGTGGATCACCTCGAAAAACACCACAACCCCAATTACCAGTGGCGACGGCACAAAGATGTTTACGGTCCAATTTCCGTCTATCCATAAATGCGACATAAGCCTTGGTTAATTCTCGATCAATGAATAATCTTTTATATTGATCACGAACTTTATTACCAGGAAAAGATTTCGCATCCATGGCCACAATTTTGGTATAACGTCGACCCCATTCATCTAATTGCGTTGGATCATAATAATTACCATCAAAGAGAAATGTATTACCATAACCAGAATATTTGTTAAATTGTTCCGTTCCAGTGATTAAAAGACATTCATTTTCAAGGAGAGTTTCAGTGAATAACATGGAGACCATTAATTCCGGATTAATTACAAATCTAATCTCTTCCTGTACAAGGCCAGATCGCAATACACCACCGCCGACACATTTATTTGCAAAATCGGCCTGAATCATACCATAACCATGAGATTCAATGGTTCCTTTCAAATGGACGGAAACTTTGGACAATTTTAATGATGATGATGACCAGTTGACCATTTCATTTTCTTCCAAGTGTCGCCTTTCAAATGAGACAATACCCTTAGGAGGTTCACTGACCACTCGATGTAAATAGTTCAATATACATTTAAGCTTTTCCAGTTTACGATTAAAACGATCATCTTTGGGTGATGAGAATAATCTGAAGAAGATAAAAAGAAAAAGTAAATTGTTAACAATAAGCTTATAAGAATATAATTTGAATTCTAATTTTTTCTTTTTTTTTCGTATTTATATTCACTTACTTGGAGAATGAGAAATCTTGTAATTTGAATTGTTTGTGTTCTGGAAAAGTACAAAAAAATCCATTACAAAGTAACGATGATATTTGTTGTTGACTAAAAAATAATGAATGATTAGATCGCTGCTTTAAGATTGGAATTGGTTGACGAATTAATTTGGGTAAATCAACAGTTAATTTAATCATTTTGGGTAAAATGATTGAGAAAAAGTGTTCACGTTCACTTGGAGTATAACATTCATCTAGGAGAGTTGATAAAACACTGAAACTTTCTTTAATCAGGCCTGGATTATAATCTTTAATAACAGAGATTAGGTTAGTTGTTGTCAAGATTGAACTTGATGTAAGTAGATTAACAATTTTTGTCCATTCACTTGTTCCCAATAGTTTATGTTTAGATTGATTGTCAACCTTAAAAGGCATTCTAACATAATCTGAAGGTAATGAATTCGATGGTATCACTAAAGATGAATAAGATGGCGATAATACCCATGAAGATGCTGTTGATGACCAATTGTAAACAAATCGTTCAGGGTAAGGTTTGGGTGGGCCATCGGTAGATAAAGGGATCTGATAGAAAATTGTTTTATCCAATGAAGCTTTTAATTCACCAAGAGAATAAGAGCAATCCGGTTCACGATTTAATTCGAAATCTTCATCTCCCGCCGGCGGAACTTCCATAATTGTAAAATTAATTAGACACAATAAACTTTACCATTGCAGAGAAAATTAATCAAAGTAAATTAATTGAGGAAAACTATTAATCAACATGAGACAATTTTGATAAGAATTTTTTGTTTACCTTTACAACTTTATCGGCGCTCACCAGATGGAAGCACAAGCGAATTCTAAAAAAAATTCTGATCATGAGCAGTGAGAGAATGAGAAAAATTGATTCGATAAACTTTCAGAACTTATTAGGATGATTATCTTTTTGGAAGAAAATATCGAAACGTTACTAATAATATGTAAACATATTCCATCGAGTAAAAAATAATCAGCATCATTCATTTCATCAGTTTGATTGTCAGAATTACCGAACGAAAACTTTAGATGAGAATAAAAGTTTTTGTTTTGATCTTGAAGAATTTGATAAATAATTAAAATAGACTAATTATCTTGTCAATTAGGTTCCAGGTGAAATTGAAGTAACTTGACAAACTTGGTCAATTCGAACGTTGAATAGATTTTCCAATTCTATTGGAATATATTCATTTCGAACCAGAGTTCTGACTCTATAAGAAAATTGCTCGAAAAGTAAACTAATTCAGTTACTAAGACGCTTCTTCAAGTGTCAGGTTAACATTTACCGTTATGAATTTTGTATTAAATTGATGATAAAGTTCATATGAAGATGATTTTAATAGTCTTTTTTATGTATAATGAAGGTAGTTTTTTTAATCAATTGATGTTTATTACTAATTTTCACAAAAATTTGATTCTTAAATGAGAGATGAGATGAGATAGAGAGAGAGAGAGAGAGAGAGAAAAGGATGACAAGAGATGAGAAAAAGGATTGACAAGATATATATCATAATAGAGAGAAAGAGAGATATTTGTATGGCGATGTAATCAGTTTATTAATTATTCGATTCTGGTGAAGAGACAATTGAGTTAATTCCACTTTGATGACATGAACCATTAAGTGTGGGTGTTGGTGTTGGCCCTTGTGAAATATTACCGTTACTTGATCCATTGCTTCCTGGACCAACTGAGGAACTTGTTATATTACCTCCACCACCACCACCGCCTGATTTTTGATTATTTAAACGCTCTTGCTTACGAAATTTAGCTCGACGATTCTGGAACCATACCTTTCATTATAATCAACGAAATTAAAGCAAAAGTAAACGTTAGATAATTAATCAGCCTCAGTATTGAATAACGAAAAAAAATAAAACGAAAAGTTTTTCATAAATATGAATAAAAAATTTTCTCCATTCTCGCCATGTTTATCATCTTCATCCCGAATCAACCCTCATGTCTCTCATTCTGAGTGGTTTCTGTATTATTTACATAAATATAAATATTATTATTATTCTTCCCTGAGAATGAATTACTCTGTTGATTGAATATGAATGGAATATGTGTTTATAATATCTCTCTCTATTTTTTTCCTCTCTCTCTCTCTCTCTCTCTCTCTCTCTCTCTCTCTCTCTCTCTCTCTCTCTCTCTCTCTCTCTCTCTCTTTAGAGTTTCAGAATCATTTTCATCATTTGCAAGTGGCTTTATTTTTACATATATGTTCATCTTCATCTTCATTTTGTTGACAATCATCATCTATATTTCCTAGAAAATGAAAGGCGAAAAGAGAGAGAGAAGGAAATTTCATCCTTGATGAAATATAATTCGAGAACCCTGCAGATATCTAAATGAAGAGTAAAAGAAGAGAAGAATTTTTTTTATCATGAAAATGAACAAGATGATGATGATGAGGATGGAGTGGGTGTGGTGAAGTCACTTTCACTTTTTAAGATGATGAAGAAAGAAAAAGGGAGAAAAATATATAAAAAAAGATATGTTCATTTCTGCTTTTCTTATCCAATTAGGAAAGTGAAAAAAAGTTAGATTGATGAAAGAAAGATGAGCAACCATGATGATGATGATGATGATAAGGATGAGGATGCGGAAGAGATGATATGAAATTCAATGCAATGTTTAGCTCAGGATATTTTTTATCTTATATATGTTGACGTAACAATGAGAGAGAGAGAGAGACTAAATTTCCAATCAATTTCAATTGTTTGTTCAATCATTGTCACAATAGTTTTGCCACTTAAAGTATCATCATAATTGTTTAATCGTAATAATGACAAGTAAGATAATCTTGATTCATCTTTTAATCCACTTTCTTAATCTTATCTATCAATATATTAATATGTATATGAGAAGATATTAATAAATGTTGATAATTTGCTACCTTGATTGTGGTAATCATTTAATGTGAAATAAATTGATACTTGATAATAATAACATTACATTTGTTATTATATCAAGATAAAAATGTGAAAACTCAATTAGGGATTTGAGTTAATTAGGTTATCGGTTAAGATTTGGGTTTCATGATAATAATAATAGAGGATATCAAGTTAACCCAAATCTTGTTATTATCAATCATCAGTGTATCAGTATCATCATTATCTTTATCATAATCATATTGATAGTAAATAGTATTGAATAATATCACCTTGATAACGGTAAAAATGATTCAGTGAGGTAATCAAAAGATGAACTCGTAAAATATATTAGCAAGAAAAATAAGATGATAGTGAAGAAGATGGAGATAAGGATGATGAGGAAAGAGGAAGTCAAATTGATGATGAAAAATCAAGGATCATCTTCATCTTCCAATCCTATAGAAGACTAAAAGTGATGAAGAAAATGTTATTTCAAGATGAAAATGATAATGATGATAAAAGAAGAAAAAGAAGACAAGAAGTTGGACAAAGAATGAAGATGAAGATGATGATGATGATGATGATGGTAAAGGATGAGGATGCTCTTAGCTATCAGTTTCATGTGAACCTATTGGATAGGCGTAAATAGCAATGAAGATGAAAAGCTGAAAGGCTCATAAATATCAACCTTTTTTTTGTGATAATATTTTTCCCTGTAAGGAAATAATTCAGAATGACCATCACTCTATACATCCACAGTATAATATAATAATAATAAGAATATACCATATGTGGTCATTCAAATGATAACTTATATTCAGTGGAAATAACCAAAGCCTCAAATGACCATTATCATGATAATAGGAAAGCAAAGACAAAACCATTTATCCTCCAATTCACTTCTCATATCAATGTTTATGTTTCCATATTTGTTTTCTCAATTCTAACACTTTATTATTGCAAATAATTCATCTTTTTAATCAACTTTAAGTAATCTCATGTTCTCGGAGTAATTAATTAGAATACATAAATAGAGGGAGAAAATAATGATAACCATGAAAATCGGAGGAAAAAAACTTCGAGACTTGGAACTTCATTCATATTTTATCTTTACTATTCTTCATGTTATCCGCATCACTTTTTACTCTCTCTCTCTCCCCATCATCTTAATTGAATTAGTATTGATTCAGACTGAACAGTAACATGGTAAAAGAATATAAATAAAAGAAGGAGCCAAAAACCAAGAACAAGGGAAAACCCTGTTTACCTAATTTTCCGTTTTCAGAGAAAAACAAAACCAGAGAATAAGATTAAAAGGTTATATTACTAATTATCTTCTTAAATAATGATAATTGATTAATTATACACCGATTAAAGTTTCTCTCTCTCTCTCTCTCTCTCTCTGTCATCCATTGATTCATTAACTGGTGGTGTAACTTTTTCAGGGTTAATTTAGTTTTAATTATCATTTAATAGTAAATTGAATATAAAATATTTTCCTTTCGAGTTCAATTTGTGCTGATTGAGATATAAACACCAAGCAAAACTGACATATGCTCAATTTATCATTTCTAGAGTATTAAAAGTAGATGATGAAGATGAGGATAAGGATGAAAAGATGTCAATAAATGGTATCATCATCATCATCATCTCCATCCTCATCATCATCATGGAGACAAAAAAAAAGATGCAAAAAGCTTAACACACATAAACAATGTTCACTTTTTTGTCTGATCGTATTGTCAATAGTATTTATAATGTTATACATACACAAAAAGGACCACAAAAGACCTGCCCAAATAGTATTTATATCTAGTTCCACTTTCCTCCCTCTCAACATCATCATAATCATCCTCATCCTCATCTTCCTCCTCTTCATCATCATACTTGTTTTCATCTTTATTATCTCTCTCTCTCTCTCTCTCTCTCTCTCTCTTGCTTTTTAATTCACTTTTACAAGGTTAATCTTTATATACAGTTTTATCCTCCTCTCGTTTACCGTTCATAGACCACCCACAAAATCACTTTACATTTCCTCATCCTTATCGCCATCACTTTCATCCTCATCACCACCACTATCAAAATCATCAATATCATCGTAATAATAATAATACAGCTCAAAGTGTATAATCAATTCAATGGTTTTCGATATTGAACAAAAAGTTTCTTTTCATATTATTTATCGTATTATAATATTTGGATACTAGTTGTTAATCCTCTGGTCTCTTCATCTCAATCCTTTTCGTAAACAAAAAACTTTTCAATCAAGAAAAAACTTGATCAAATCGACCTAATTTCAATCTATATTTACATCGTATCACTAATCAAGATATCAAATACTAAATTTATAATAACAATCAGTGATTAATTCTGATTGACCAGATGGATATTGAGATGGACAAAAAGTAACAACAACAATCAATTGTTGATTGTTGTTGATAAAGTGAAACAATTACAATTGAAAAATAGGATAAGATGAAAAATTTTTTTTTTCCTGTTCTCTGTCTTCACTTGATTCATTTTTCCAATTGCAATTAGTAAATTGTTGTACTTATGCACTGCAAAGGTAAATACAATTAGTAAATTGTACAGAAAAATTAATTCAAATTGTTGACATTGGCACACTTTCAATTCTCTCCTTATTCTAATAGTAATAATAATCAAACAAGAAAAAAAAAATTAATAAACTCGACAACTAAATTGATAATCAGGAAATACCTTTGAAATTACAATTTGATTTATCCATTAATAGATTGATAATAGTCACAATTTAAGGATCATTAAGTGTTAATAGTAAATGTTGACAACAATAGATGACAAGTAAAAATAAAGTATTTAAATGTTGACACGGTTATTTGATCATCATTGATGATGAAGATGAAGATGATTATCAAAAGTTAACTGTACTTCATTCATGATCATTGTATTATTGTTAATAATATTGTATCATAATTAAGGTCACTAAATATGATAATAGAAACTGAGAAAAATAATCAACTATCATTGACACTTTTTTTTACTCTGATTGTATTTAGTTGATTGTTAATCTCGCTATTTATTACCATATGTTCATCATTGAGAGGGAGAGAGAGAGAGAGTTACTAGCATCCTCATCACTTTTTCATCTTCGTTAATAACAAAGAAATAGACTAATAGTGTAAGTGTAATATTTACTTCCGTGAATACAAGTTCTTTTCATTGGAAATTTAAATGGTTGGATTAAGGATTTGGATGGAAAAATATTGTCAGGATTAAGGATTAATTGTGAACAATATCTGATCACTTGAGGTGTGATAATAATACAAAACCATTGTAACAATTGTGGATTTATATTATCATCTAATAGCGAGTATATTATATAATTGTCGCTACAATTATCTAATTACAAGGTTAATTGTATCAAATAAGATGAATGAAACTTTGCTGTTTCAATAGTTGAATATGAGGATGATGTTTATCAAAGGATCATGGAAATCTGGTAAATATCATCTCAATGATTCATTTTCATGATAATAATTCACTGGGATGAGTAAAGAGTAAAACAGAAACATGATTATAATTATTATCCAAAGAATAGCAAAAGATGTTAATCTTTAAATATACTAATCCAAATCTCTTACCACAATTTACTGTTGAAGTGAATTTAATATTGCCTTTATGTTGATTTTAATGGTCAAGCTTTAATGGTCATTCATATGATTATGATGATGATGATGGGCAAGAGATGACCACCATCAATAAACATTGTTACTGTTACTTAAAAAGCATGATAAAGGTAAATGATTTAAAAGGCTTGACCATTGATAATTGATTGAAATGCATTTAAACCTTTCTGTTCATCTCAATGGTCAAATTGTGATCGCTTGATAACTGGACATTGTCTTCATCTTTTATGTATCTCACTGGTCATCAATATCTAACCAGATATTGACCATTGAAATGACCAGAAAGAGTTTACCATCCATTATAATGGATATAAACAATTGTTATTATTTTCTGATGATACATTTTGATCAGTGTAATCAATTTTAATCAATCTACTGGAACCAAATAATTATCTTGAATCAGAAATGGACAATCAAGCTTAGATATATATGTAAAAGTGATTAGTTATAATTGTTATTTAATTTTCAATGGTATTGAAATGATTTAACCAATCAAACAATAATTAATTTCAAATCTGCATTAAATCCTGAAATGAGTGAGTGAAAGTTTATTGAGGTAAATCAACTCACGGGAATACTGATGGTTATAAATTGTAATCAACATTGAACAACAATCAGAATGAAAACAACAAAAAAATTAATCAAATATTTACACAAGTGACTGTACAATAACAAACAACGAGGCAAATTGTCAATAAGGTCAAAATACAAAGATGAGGATGAGGATGAAGATGAAGATGAAGATGAAACTCTGAATGTTTATTTTTTTGTTCCATGTCAAAAATGTTCAACAATCAACATCAATATAATTGTAAGAATTTAATCAAGCAAAAATGAAAATGATTCAGTTGAGAATCTAAATGCTTATCAAATAGTAATAATTTTAATTGTAACATGAAAATTGGGTCAAAATATTTAAAAAAAAAATCGAAATCAAATAATGAAATTGGTTCCAATCTACTTGTTATCGTGAGAATTTACAGAAAATTAGAACATTTTAGATTTTAGAAAATAATATCACTTTTCGAATGAAAAATCCAACAGAGAGAAAGAATAAGAGGGAGTGAGTGAGTGAGTAAGTGAGAGTGAGAGAGATTCTCAATGTTATCAGAACGATTGTAACGTATTTCGAATTTGAAATCCTCAAGAGGATCGAAATTTTTTCACACTAATCCTGAGAATCTAAATTATCATTATGATAACGATAACTTCGAGTCCATTGTGAGTTATTACCAGGTTGATATCATCAAAATTGTAGTTAACTGATTAGTTGATTGATATAATATATTTTCACTCCCAGTGAAAGTCCCACTTTGTATGGTTACCCTATTGGGATTTGTTGTTTTGCTGTTATGTTGATCTTGTATTACTTTTCTGATGACGGTGATGATGATCATTATGATGATTATCATCAGTATTTTTTATTTATATTCAATCTCCCTTGATAAAGACAAGATAATTTTACTCAAGTGATTTGAATTTAATTTCCCACGAAAAAAAGGAGAAAGTTAAACGACAGTTTAAACCTCACAGTATTAAGTTAACAAGCTCTCATGGAAAGAGTCAATAGAATCTTCATCATGATAAACTCAGAATTTCCATATGATAGATTCTGACAATTAAGAGATAAAAGGAAACAATTAAAGAAAAGATTAATAATAAGGAAGTAAATTAAGTTGCTATTAACACTTGAGAGATAGGAAATGCTAATTGATTAGAAAATTGTTAACATTGAGTTTGATTGTTATTGGAGGAAAGTCATTGAAAGGATAATTGTTGTTGGGATAAAATCGGATTTTGAGGTTAAATGGACATTATTCAAGTGGATTTATGTGGATCAGGGGGTTTAGTGTGATTCAAGATACTGATAATGATGATTATCATCCGAAATGGATGAACATTGATCACGTGTCAAGTCAAATTTAATTAGGATTAGAGGGTTGATTTGGTAACGGATGATTAACCTGAACGTTGGTTTATTCATTAACTATAATAGGAGATACAGATGTCGCAAAGGCAATGAAAAATCATCTTGAGGATGAGGAGGTGATGCTGATGGTGATGAGGGTGAAACGGAAAAGGAAAAGATAACCTTGTTGTTATTATTGTTTCTACATGTTAATCTTGTTTCTTTGATCATTTTGAGTTATGAGGCACGCGTTCAAATGTTGAACGTGTTCTGTTTGTACTACCAACCGTTATATTCAAATTGAAATAAAAGGAAAGTATCAAAAATCTCATAACACTGCACACGACTGGACACATACAAGTAAATACAACATTTATACAAAATGTTTCCTTCCTTCATCTTCATCTTCATCATTGAGGAACAAAAAAAACACCAAACAAATGACAATAAAAATTTGTCGAAAAAAAAACTCCAACAATTTGTTATTGATTCTTGTTGTTATAATCAACTTAATCATCAGGTACAATAGTTGAAAAGATGATAAGAAGCATCCAAATGTCAACAATTGATGAAGACACACTTTCGTATTATCTTGTTTATCATCATCATCATCATCTTCATCATCAGATTATCATCTGAGCTGCTCTTCATCAGTGTTACCTTTAACATCAACAGATGCAGTTAACTATTATCACTATAAGTACAACACGCGATTCGCATGTTCAAACGTGCCACTTTCCCTTTCGTCTCCTGATTTACCTTGATTAAGCCTTTAATTTGACAATCGACAAATAATTTCAATTGAAGGTATTAAATAGTAATGATAACATTATGATAACAATGTTTCTCTCTCACTTTCTGGTGATATTATTCATTAGTATTCATTTGTAGTATAGTCGATTAATGTTTCGTTTTTAGATATTCAGTTAATGTTGTGTTAATCATAACGATAATTAGCAGATATTTACCTGTACACGAGCCTCGGTTAGATCGGTTTTACGTGCTATATCCTCACGAGTGTAGATATCAGGGTAATGAGTCTCATGAAAAGCTCGTTCCAACTCTTTTAATTGTGCACTTGAAAAGGTTGTTCGGATTCGGCGTTGTTTTCGCTTCTCGGTTAGTACTGCTTCGTGCGATGGAGAGTACATTTTATAAGGCAAACCTGTTGGAGAAAAGTTCGAGACAATTTTCGAAAAAAAAAGTTACAATCAAAATCGATAAGATGAATCGAGATGAACAGAATGATAATCGATGATGTGATAATTATGCCATTAATTGTTTACCTCTTATTGATGATGGATTCGTATGAGCTGATAGAAGGTCAAAAGTTGATTTAGTTGATGATGTATCAAAAGGATGATGAACATAATGTGAATTCGTGTCCCCAAGTGAGTAATGGCAATTTTTTTTGGACAACTTTGATTTACATTCATCAAGATCAGGTGATGTATCCCATGATGTTACTAATTGAGCTCGAGCTGATGAAGAAGCGGTTAATTGTTGATAAAGTGATGCCGATGCAGCCGATGAAGCAGCAACAGCTACTGCAGCTGAAGCATTATAAGCTACCGCTGCGGAGGCACCACCGCCAACTGAATAATAAGAACCCGGATATCCTCCTGGTCCAGTGGATGGTGTTGAATATGCACTATGATTATAATTATCAAGAGTTGTTGGTATCCCACCTCCTCCTCCTCCACCACCACCACCACCTCCTCCTCCTCCCCCACCTACACTACTTACACCACTTCCACCACCACCTCCGGTTACTATTGATGTGATTGAAGATGATACAGATCCAGTTGAAACAGCTGATTGTTGATGACAGTTATTTAATGGGGAAGATGAATGTTGAACACTGTTACTGTTAAATCCAGTTGGATTATCACCATCAGAACCAATCATACCCCAATAACAATTTAAATTACCAGTACCTTGTGAACCTGAAGAGGTTGGTGTTGTTGAACTGCCCATGATTAACATTTGTATTACGATTATGTTAATTATTCAATCATACACACGAACAAGAAACAAGATAGAAATTAAATTCAATTAAAAAAAAAAAGAAACACCGATTGTTGAAGACTAGGAAAAAGGAAATTGACACAGAAAATTAGAGTAATTTGTTGATTATCATCGTGACGATCACTTGCATAATTTGTTTGAATGAAAATCAACTAATTGATGGTAAAATTTGTCGATAAACAAACAAAATTTTCACTCGAAAAACTTTTAAATCAATTCATTTGGTGGTAAAACTTTTTCTCGAAAAGAAAAAAACTTTTTTGTTGTGACTCTTTTTTGCGAAAACATTTGACTGTTCACTTGCATTCGAAAACTCATCTTCATCTTTAATCTCTTTCTTTTTTTTTCTCTCTCTCTCTCCATCTCTCTTTCTTTGTTTCTTTCTTTTCCAATATCATATTCACTCCTTGTTGAATCTATAGTCATGATATTTACGAGAAAACCAGTCAACACTTTTGACTCCTCCTTCCAACTCCACCCAATCTCTTTCTCATTCTCATCTTCATCTTTTTTCCTATATAAACATCAAACTCATCATCATCATTATCATTATCATCATCATCTCCTCTCCCTTCAAATTGTCTCCACTTGCTTCACTTTTCATCCTCATCACTTTTTATCCTATAGATTAGACTTGCAGCTTCAATTTGCCTTAAGGTTTTTCCTTTCCAGGCATCTCACTTGCCTCATCATCCACATTCATCCTCATCCTCATCGTCTCTCTCTCTCTCTTTTTCACCATTCAATCCATTCATTTAGCTAACATCCTCATCACTTGTTTTTAAGGGATGGACACTTTTTCTTTCTTTTCATTTTCTTTTTATTTTCACAACAAGGACTTGGAATTGAGTAGAAAAATATTATCAAACAGAAAAAAACAAAAGGATAAATGTTTCTCTTCCTCATCCTCATCCTCATCCTCATCTCTCTCTGACCATCTAGACTGATGCTGAAAAAAGGTCAAGAAAATGTTGAGATAACAAGGAAATTGATTGATTCCCTCCTAAGTGTTACTTCATTTGGGTTAACATACAATTCAATCAATTGATTATCTTAAAAATACAAACATAATTAAGATGATAACCATTGAGCAATTAAATTATGATTTGTGTCACCAATTATTTTCATTCATATACATAATATAATTATCTTGTTAATCATTTTTTTTTTAAAAAAAGTGACACCAACCAAAAAAACCAAACTAAAAGAGTAATTAGTTTGCTAATTTAAGAGGGAAGAAAAAGTTAATTGAAACAATTTATCAACACAATTAACACACAGCTAATTTAACAGTTGAGAAAAAAAGTTTCATTTAAACAGATTAAGTTAATCAATTGGATAACATTAAAAAGGCGAGGATTGATAATCCATGATAATATTAGTTGATTAATAATGTTTGAAACTTAATATTGTTCAATATTGAAATGGTAAAAATAATCACCAAATCAAAACGTAAAATATTAAATTGTTATTACTGTTAACAGCTGATTAATGATTTTCCCTTTATAATCTTAGGAGAAAATCATTAATCTTAAATTCATCTGATTGTCCAAAGGATCATCATCATCATCATCATCATGTTAATGTTGTTATTTACTCTCTCATTCTCATGACAATGAGATTTTTTCATCTCAAAGTTATAAACAAAATTGGACAATAAATAACCAATTTCAATAGCGTAAATGGTAAGTAAGTGTTTTTCCAGATTCGTGCGTGTTTATCCAATGTCTTTTCATCTTCGAACTTTTCTCTCTCTTTCGAAAAACTGATTCTCTATTTGATCTTGAAAGATCGTTCTTCCTCCATCATCATCATCATTTCCATCTTCATCCTCATCATCCTCATCATCTTCTCTTTCTTTCTCCTCTATCATCCCCTTCCACTCTTAATCATTCACTCCAAGTCCCATTCAGAATTATGCAATTGATCTTCACTCTTTTTCCTCTCCATCCTCATCCTCATCCTCATCTTCATCTTCATCCTTCTCCTCCTCTTCTCTTTTTTTGTATACATCAACCTTCAATTCCCTTTATATAGGTCTTACCTCTCTCTCTCTCTCTCACCCACCCCACCCTCTCTTCCTTATCTTCCTCATCTTGTTCATTTTCATTCATTCTCTTTCATTGACGCCAATGTATCCCATCTAAACTGAATGCATTTAGCTAATTGATTCCAATAAACTTTTCCATCCCTTTAGAGTTACTTTTTCAAGTGAACATTTATTTTCACCATCAGAGAAACAACATCAACAACCAGGTAAACAAAAGTTAAATTGTTACCCGAATATAAAATATATAACATGATCAAATTTCCCATGGATTAAGAATGATTAACAATTAACCTGATTAACTTGATCTACAGATTAATACATATGAATAATAGTAGACTGATACATGTAATATTATAATAATGAGAAGAGGGAGAGAAAAAAAAAATTTTTTTTTCTCCCAATTTTCTGGTTAACTAATTAACGTACTTATCTGAATTAAATGATCATTAATTTGTGAATAATTTGAATCTAATTGATTTGAATAATCAGATTAAATCAACAGTAGATTAAATGTTTTTACAGTCAATCAAATAAAATATTGAACAACAACAACAACAACAATCAGCTGATCGATGTAAAAATAAATTGTCAACATCATTTAATCATCAAGAGTATAATCAATATTTTCTCATCATTATCATCATAAAAATCATCATTCATATCAAATTATTATTATATATTTTTCACCGTGAGAAATGTTAATCACAATTAAATCCTCAAGAGACAACAATCAAAATCTGAATCTCAAGCCAATACAAGTAAATTGTTAATTAACCAGGAATAAGAATTGACAAGACAATTAGATGAGAAAGTGTTATAACAATTAAACAAAACGGAAACAATTTAGAAACGTTTTTCTTAATATAAACAATATATATTCAAATATATTATATTATATGATAATACATAAGGTTAATATACAATCAGGATTAATATGATTAACTATTTATTGGTTAATCTGTTGAGTTAATTTAAAATCAATGATGCAAACCAGTTAATCAAGTTGATCATTGAAAATCCTATTTATTATTATTATATCATGATTATGAATGACTATTTGTTTAGCTTATTATTCAACCAGCAACTGAATTAATATCAACTGTATTCATATCCTTATATACAAATTAATCTGTTAACCAACAATTTAACTGATCCATCATATGTAATAATAATCACATCAGGATGATGATGATGATGAAGATGAAGATGAAGATTAAAATAAATTATCCTCATCCCTTGTATATGATTTTTTTTATATACTTTACTGAACATCAATCTTCAGGCATTTTGTATATTTATATTCATGGAGATGAGGATAAAAAATGAGATAATCATTTGCTAGAGTAAATTGTTGTCGGTGGTAACAATTAATCCGATGATGATGACGATTGATTTAATAGTGAAAATATTAAACCAATAAATGATATTTGATGAATGGAAAGTGAATCTTATATTCAATTGGCAATATTGTTTATTGTTTATTCAATTGATAATAATAAGGCCATTTTTAAGTAAATAACTTGTTTACATGATTGTTAAATGATTCGGAATCAGGAATAATATTTAATTTGCCTGAAGCTCAGTCTGAACTTTATTCAATCATTTCAACACTTTTTACCTCAAATATCATTTTTCATGATAAGTTAAACATGAAAATCAATTGCAATTGTTCAATGATCAGTGTAAATATAAAATGATGATGATAATCATCATGATATAAGATGAAGCAAATGATAATATCATCAGTTAAATAGCCTCAAGGAATAATAATTATTACTATCAATCAATTGATTTTTAACAATCAATTCTAACTGGTTAATGTTTTCAATTATTCTGATTAAGTTTTAAATGCTTGAAACTTTTCTTGTTATCAATTGAATTACTTAACTTTCAGTTTCCATAAAGCAAATTAAATTTCACTTTATGATTAGTTAATTGCTGTCGTTCATATTAATTGTGGTGTCAATTGGTCATCGTAATTGGTGGAGGTTGTAAGTGTTTGGTCAATTGGCGATTCGATTGATTGTAAGATCGTAAAGATGATTTCGATTGGTGCTAATTTCGTAATTAAAATATTCGTAATTATATTTGATTGTTTTTTTTAGAAAAATGTTTAATTACAATTGCGAAAAGTTAATAACAAGCAAATTTAGAAAAGAGAAATCCTAATTTTCATTAAGTTAATTGTTCAATTTTGTTAATTATTTCGCTAATTTATCATAATCACTTGTTTAATTAATCATAAAAGTGGCAATTTAGTTTAATCTAATTTTAATTGTCATCTTTCTTGAGAGAAAGAGGAAATTAAAATCCTCTTTCTTTAATTTTCTTTAACACTAAATTTTAATTAGTTAATCGTTGTTCATTTTGATGATAAAAATTGTTAGTCTCATTTTGTTAGTTAATTGTGATTAACTAATAATCTTAGAAATTAATTGTTAATTAGCTGTTATCATTTAATTTCTATCCGCTAATTTAAAGTAAAAATAATAAATTACAAAATAATAGAAAGAAAATTAATTGTGTAACAATTTAATCCAAAGGAAAGTGATTTAATTGTGTCAGTGTTAATTGTTCCGGATTAATATTAGTCTATTTGTTTATCCATTCATTTTTCTGATGGAACAAGAATTCAGCAAAAACCAAGAAAAAGACATGAGAAAAAAAAGATGAGGATGCTACTGATAAGTGAAGATTCGGGATGAGGATGCTAAGAGAGAGAGAGAGAGAGAAACAGAAAGAAAGAGAGAGATGATCTTTATGATGATGAAAAAGATGCTCCATTCATTTGGATGATGTGGAAACCTCAATAATGGTTTAGGTTTCATTGGAGTGTTAAAAATTTGATTATCATCATTTGATTGATATTGTCTCTTAATCTCTCTCATATTAAATTGTTTTTTTCCTATTAGAAAATGTTGTAACAGTAAAAAATATTATTCTTACAGAGAAACAATATCATTGAGCTTTGATTTGATGAAGAAAATTAATCATTTAAACGATCAATTAAATTCTGATGATGGTTTTCAAGAATATACCAAATTCAGGGAGAGAATCAGATGAATTGGTGTTATTTAAATGATCCCAATTATGTTTACTCATTTTTCTTGTTGTTTTACTTGGAAAACCAATTGTTTGGAGTGATTTCTAAGGTAACAGGAAAAGAATCTTGTTCTTCTTGACCAAAGAGTAAAGTGACCATTGGATTATATTGTTTTCTACTAATCAAAATACTCTAAATTGTTATCGTTATCCCTAATTAAGGGGATCAAATGGAACAATAAAAATAATATGAAATTAAGGAAAAGGAAGGTTAGTAAATTGGGAAAAAAAGAGTTGATCCTTTAAATTAGTGAATAGAAAAGAGGTTAATATCTTGCTGATCTTGTTTCTTTTTATCATCAGCATCTTTACTCTCTCATTTTCTTCTTGATGGTCATCATCTTCATCTTCATCCTCATCCTATTCTTATATATACTTTTAACTATAAAAACAACTTGAGTTTAACGTCTCTCAGGAGTAGGGATAAGAATTGTGATATGGATTCAGGGCTGAAAAGGGAGAAGATGATGAAGATGATGAAGCTTATGATGATGGTGATGATCTTCCATGAAGAAGGTAAAGAGTGAGAGAGAATCAACTAAAGGCTGTAATCTAATCCAATATTAAAGGGTTGAATTAGAATTGGTAAACTGAAGGTAGACAAAAGGGTTTACCTGTAGTCAAATAAAACGAACCAATAAAGTTCAGATATTTATCATTATCGATTCTCAATTCAATTCTCAAACTTTTCTCAATACCAAGGGTATTCAAAATTCTAACCGCTGATTCTAAACTAAGAACATGCTTTCAATCAACTTATTGATCAATTGATTGACTATCGTATTGCAAAAAGTTAAAGGAAACGGAAAGTGACCGGCGGATGAGGAAGTAAAATAATAGATTAACGGTAAAACCAAGTGAACATATTAACTCCCAGTAGAACTGGAAAAATAATGATGACGATTTAAGATGAAGATTAAGTCTCATAAAAGGATTTGAAATGAAGTTGTTTTCTCACTCCAAATTGCCCTTATCATCTTCATCTTTTGTGGACTCAAAAATTATTCTGGAATTGGTTCAGGATTGTGTACGTTTTGTATATACACATCTCAAGAGAGATCTAGGGTCAGATGATGAGGATGAGGATGGAGAAGACAAGGAAAGGATGAGCAAGAGAAAAGTTTCTAAAAGAGAATAAGAATTTTTTTTTTCTCTTTTCTCTTTCTCTTCCCTTTTGGTATTTATATTTAACTGATGAAGGGACAGTTTACCTATTTTTTTTTTCATTCTTTATCCATTTAATCCAATTGGTGTTCTAACTCATAAAAATAACGGTTCTTAGTTGTTGTTATAATCAATTGTTTACTCAGTGTTTTTATTAAAGTATAATAGCTTAATATTATTACCTTTATGTTTACCTGATGGCACAAAAGCATGCGAAGCAATTTAAGAGCAATTTAATATCAGGTAAACTTTGGACAACAATTTAAATTATAAATTTTCATGTCGTTTTTATGATTAGAAGGATAAATGATCAACAAGGAGGAAATAATTGACTTGAAAAGGTAAATTATAAGATGAAGGAGCTAAAAACAAGTGAAAGTGTTTACAAGTTTTTCTTGTGAATCTTTTTTACTTCATGTTGATTACATTTCAGTTTTCATCAGTTGAACGATCAATTCAGTTATCATGGAACAGTGAAAAATGAGTGATGAAGATGATAAAATATCTCTCAATTTGATTTGATCAAGATAAAAGATGATAACAAGAGGAAGAGGAAGAAGAAAAAAAAATATATATATAAAAGAATTGGAATCAATATTGGAATTGATATTTTCATCATCAGAATCAATTTTCAACAAAAAGAATCAAGAAAATAACAACAACATGATGATGTTATCATGATGATCATGATGATTATTGAATAAGAATCAATAGAAAAATATATTGACAATCAAACAACAGTTTTCACAAAGATTGATTTGAAATGTGAGACATGAGAATTGTAAAATTATCTTGACAATTTGATTTGATTAGAAGATGAAATCGATTGTTGATCAAAAATGGAAAAGCAAACAATATCATTATCGAAACAATTACAACTTATCAGCTAATTGTTTCCATAGATCGATTGTTGATTATTGATTAATGAACAATAATTAAAAGGATATTTTGTTTCCTTACACTTTTCTGATTTAATTACCTTGAATGATAGGCTCCTTTTAACACTTAATTGCAATGATTTATTCATTTAATTATATTATTAACCTCAGAATGTGTTATTTTTTAAGTGATAGTTACAATGATAATAATAATATAACTTGATTATGGTTAATCTTTTTCACTTGTTAGTTTTTTTTCTGGTTGTTATTATGTTAGATTATTAAGTTAACTTGAATCAATGTAACAATCAATTGTTCATCTAATCAAAGTTAATATAATAATAATAAAAATCAATATAATCATCTGATGGTCAAGAGTTGATTGAGAAATATATTAATCGGTTACACTTTAAAATAATTAGTATCATAATGAAAACAATCAGATAAGTTGATTGTGATGGATTAGGATTAAGTGATTATATTATCATCATGTTAAAGAAAAGGTATCAACATTTGACCAGAATATTGATCAGATGTGAATGAGAATTGTTAGTTTATTTTTTTTTCTCGTTGATTCTCAATTGAAATTGTTGTTGATTCTGTTGGTAATTCAGTTATTAACATGATAGTCTAATGCTGGTGAGAGAGAGAGAGAGAGAGAGAGAGGTGATTGTAATCACAATTGACAGTTAATCAAAGGCATTGGATGTGAATTGAAAATTGAAATTGAGAGGAAAATGTTATGATGAATTTTTTGATTGTCAAGATTTCCCTTGAGTGTTAATTGTAAACAATAAATATATTAAGTGTTAGTGATGCTGGATAATGATGGTAAAGAATATGGATAAAAGTTGATTAACGTTGATTGTTATTGATTGATAAAGACAAGGGATAAACAATCAATGAGATGTTGAACAATTGTAACTAATATATTATTATTATCAATTGTGTTCCCATGTCATTCACTGAATTATCAACATGATGATTGGGTAATTTTCAGAATCATCTTGATAACGTTTTTGATACAACAATCTAATTTAATAATAAACAATAAGACCAGAATGATAAACATAATTTAGACTCGATAACATCATCATAATCATAATCAGTTAATAATCAACATTGTCCTCTTGTTGTTATCGTTGATAATTAAATCAATTGAAAGGTTAAATCTGTTCACAAAGGTTTAATCATTCATCAGTTAGCATTATCTAAGTTTATTGTTAATTGTTTACACTAATAACTTTTCACAAATAACAATTAGTTAATTATCTCCTATTCTAATTGATAATTCAATGTAAATTCATTTTCATTTTCACTAATTAACACAACACTTTCTAATATTATAGCTTTTAACATGTCAATTAGTTAATTATTTTTGACACTCATTTAACTTGACACCATTATCATCAGTTAATTGCCTATTGATTATGGTATTGTATTAATAGTATAGTAATTGTAAGATTAATTGATTATCAGCAATGAGAAAATAATCAAATCATCATAATCAATATTTATTAATTGTGGTCAGTTCATTTCTCTCTCTCTCTCTAGATTAACAATTAAAATCAATTTGAGATGAAAATTGAAAAGTTAAACATTTCATGTAAATCTAATTGTGGTTTTGTAAATTAGATTTTTATATATTATTGGTTAATCGCATCTAGAACAGGGTCACACAATTTATGAATGAACCTTAATACAGTTACAATATTTAATGTTTCGAACACCAAAGATTGAATTTACAGAGAAAAGAGAGATTTTGTTTTCATGATGACAATTTCGAGATGGAATACAGAGGATAGAAAATATTGTTTTGTAGTTGAAATGATGAAGGTGATTGTTGAAAAAAAGCTAATTGTTGATGATTTGGATTCGAGAGCGAAGACAAAGTCATCGCTGAAGGTATTTTGTTGTTGTTAAAATGCGATGAAAGAGAAAGAGAGAGAGAGAGAGAGAGAGAGAGAGAGAGAGAGAGAAGTGTTAGAAGGAGAATATATAAGTTGTAGTAGAGATGAAAACGGGACAAAGGGAAGAAGAGAGATATTGATGAAGATGATGACGATGAGAGAGAGAGAGAGAAAGAGAGAAAAAAAGATGATGAGGAGGAAAGAAAGTAGATGAAAACTACTTCTCAACTCTGGCTAGTAAATTGGATGTTGCACAAAAAAAGGAGGATAAGATGAATTGGCTAATTTGATCGGTGATCTATTCAGCTCTCATTTGATCGATTTCAAGCAAGTTTATCGATCAAATTAATTCATATTCAAATATAATAATAATACATTTTCTGTTGGTTTTATACTTTATATAATATATAACTTTAGGGTATAGGGAAGAGGAAGAAAAAAAGACAGAGAAAAAAAAGCTAAGGAAGAAGAGAGTGTGAGAGAGAGAAGGAGGGAGAATATTATTCTGCAGGGTGATTTTGGGTGTAAAGTGGAGTGTATATTTATATTATATATATTTATGTATATTATTTATAAGCATTGTATATGAGGGTTGTTTGTGTACTTGTAAATATTTTGTATGATTTTGTAGTTAATTCAAGATTCTGATTCATAGCGTAGGTGAGAATGGATTTATCCAAAGCTGGTAATTGATTGTTATTGTTGTTGTTTCTTTTTGTTTTCAAAGTTGATCATTATTTTTTTTTACTTGACATTAAAACGGCTCGAATTGATGGTTCGATTTTTTAGATTTTCATTTACACTGCTTTCTTGAGCTTTTTGGTTTTCATCATGCTGTTCATTTCATCCCCTTCTAAGCTCATGTCATTGGTGTAATTGGTTATCGATGAGTTTCTACCTAAAAGTTCAACCTTGAGTCTCTTTAAAATTGATAGATTTTCTCTCTTCTTTGCTTGTTCTAACATTCTTCTTTGCACTTTTGATTGTTCTTTCATATCTTCGATTAAGGAGGACAATTGTTCATAAACATTGGTGTTTGTTGGAAAAAATTGGATCTTTGCTTCTTCGGATAAATTTTGGACTTCCGCGAGGTGGACTACTTCCTCTGTATCTCCATTTAGAACTTTTTGCACTTTCATTATCCATTCGTCGTAGATGTTAATTCGCTCCTTCAATTTTTTCATCATTTCTGGAAATTCTTCTAAACCATGACGATATTTAAGGATATGTTGAGATGGTGTGCACTTTTTACACAACTTGTCCTTATGAATTAGACAAACAAATTTATCTGCAATTAAAAGGAAAGTGAAAAAAACAAATAATTAGTAAGATAATTATATATATTGAAAATGAACAACAATCGAATCCATAGAATGTACCAAACTCCATAGAAGATACGAGAAGCTTGAATGGATTGGATAATAATAAGTCAATTATAATAAAATGATCAAAGAAATGAAATAATACAAAGTAATTACAGTTAAACTGTTAAAAAGATGAAACAAATTAATCATGAGGTTACGTGAGTAAATGTAATATAAGGACGAGATTTGTAATGATTTAAAACAAGTATTAATGTAAAAGATGCAATTAAATTGATTAATTGACTATTGAGAGAGTGAATGAAAGGTAAATAAAAAGATTTGGAAACAAAAAAAGTTGAAACATATTGAATTTCCTGTAATGTAATTGTTAACAACAACTATTCAATGAGATCTAATTGGAACACAGTTTTAACGGAAACTTGGATACTTTTGTTTGAGACTAAATGGAAAATTAAACTTTGTTATGTTAACAAATGAAAAACGAACTGAATAATCAAGTTGAAAACATTCATTTTCAAGTGAATTGAGAATTAAATTGTTCTCACCTGATTTACATTGACACGAAAGAGATGACAAGTAACATGTAGTTCGACAATAATAACATTGTCTTTCATCATCGGCTAATGCTTCAAATACCATTTGTTCAGTTTGTATGATACCCCAATCGTCTAATTGGCTTCTAAGGTGTGTCTCTTTCTTAACCATTTCCAGCATATCATCATATGTTGCAGATGCAATGGCTATATCTAATTCATCAGCTATAAACGCCATTCTACATATAAGTTCATCGTGACTAAAAACGGGATAACGCTGAAGCATAGCATAGTGATCTACACAAATTCTGCCCATTGATATCCATTCAGATGGCGCAAAATTAACAGCTTCAGCTAAATTTAATCCTTGATTAAAACCAGCGTGATACGCTCGTGGAAATGTAACCACAAATTCGCCGGCTTGTTGATTTGTCCGATAAATCTGTCAAAAGGTAAAATGAGATAAAATTAGTAACTAATGAAAAGAAGCAATAAGATTGATAATAATAATCAGCATGATACTTACAGGTACGTCAGATTTCATCAGAATATTTGGATTACATATCGTCACAAGTTGGTGTAAGAGATCAGGTTGTGAATCGAAAAGTTCGGGAGCTACTTGTTTCATTGCGTCTTCGAATTTTTCAGCAGCATCACCAGGGACTCCATACCAAGTTTTGGCTTCGCCCCAATGGAGGTAGTTAATTGAATAGGACCAATGATCCTCATTGTGCCAGCAAAATGTTGAGAAACACATGCCAACATATCTATCAAAATAGACAAAGAATTATCCAAAAAATTAGTTCTCTTGCTTGTGTGTAAATTAGTCCACAAAATGATTACTGATTATTAATCGCCAATAACAAGTAAATCAATTATTAGATGTGCTATTGATTAAAATTAACTTACATCCATGGAACTATCATTCCACTAATATTTGAATTGATATATTTGAAAACACTTCCTTCGAGAATAGGTAAATTGTTGAGATTCCAAGGATGATCAATATATTCAAGATCTGCTGGTGAGATGAATTTTGACTTTTTAGTCGGAAAACCTGAGCCGAAATCATTGGTGTGGAGATCAGCTCCATATTCAACTGTAACTGATTCATCCATGGAGGACACAAGTCTCCAAAATTCTTTTTCTACTCGAGATAGTGGAACCATCTATAAGAAAAAAATCAAAACAACAAGAAAGAAAGAAAGAATGAATGAAAGAAAGAAGAAAATACAAATAAAAAATGAAATTAGAAAACAAGGTCATCTAGAGGTGAATTGGAGGAAGTTCAAATTAATTGATTAAAGATTAAATTGATTCAATTACATGTGGTGGTAAACGGAAATAGTCCGCTTTAAATTGGTCTGCCATTTCACCAAAATCAGCTAATGTATAATCTCGTTGACTTTGGGCGAAGCCGAACTCATGTGTAAATGGTTGTGGCTGATTTTGTACAAAGGAGGCTACACAACGGGGACAATGCCAAACACCTAATGGATTAGGATTAAGCGAGAGAGAAACAAAAAATAAGATTAGCAATACATACAAATAGATTTTGATTTTTCCCATTATTTCTGACGAAAACAAAATCTAATCAAAATGCATCATATTAGTGAATAACCATGAACTAGATTGATGCTAATTGAAAACTCGTGTCCATGTACTTGAATAAATTTTAATAACATACCCGTCGGCATATTGTTAAGAGGAGGAATAAGACAGTAAAGGTGAAATAAGTGATCACAACCCGCACACCTAAGCAATTGATGGGAGAATGTATTTTCATTACAAAGAGTGCAAATCTAATATTGAGAAGACAAAAGAAGAAAAAATGTAGAGAGAGAGAGAGAGAGAAAATTTGATTAGTTCGAAGTAAAGAACAAATTAAATCGATTGTATAATTTTCATCAATTAAATTTGACGAACTTGATTTTTTCCATTGGTGATTTCTTTTCCATTCTTATCCTGAGTTTTAGTCTTTGATGAGTCTTGAGATGAGAAACCAGGCATCTTAGGTCCAGCTCCATATACTTGTAGTCTTTGTAATTCTGAAAAAGGACAAGAAAACAGACCTGAACTGTCTGTGTAAAATTGACTATTCAACTAAAATCTCATCTAAGATGAAATTTTGTATAATTATTTCATGATAAAAAAAAATTTTACACCCTGATAATTATAGATATATATTTATATATAAACTCATCTATCATTTAATAAGTGACAAACCTTTGTCCACCCTTGGATAACTAGTTCTACGCCTTTGTCCTTGTTGAGTTTGCATTCGATGAGCAAGCCTTCTAGGTGATGGTCGAAGTTGAATCGGCTCATGTTTATCTTCCTCTTCTTCTTCATCTTTAGATTCTTCACAATCGGTTGTTTCGTCTTCATTAAAATCACTTATACGAGAATTAGGAGCACCATCAGGTCGACCATTAAGTCGAGCCTGTCTGCTTAGGTCAACATTTAAATTATAAGTTATTGGTCTTCCAACTCGACGTGGAGATGTCCGTAATTGTTTACTTTCTTTTTCCACTTTAAGATTTTTGTTAATGATTGGACCTGAGGGTACAGAGGTTGGAGTTGATGGTGGTGGTAAAGGTGAAGGTCCTTTAAAGGACGACATGCAAGATTCTTCAGAGTTACTAATACCATGAGAAGAACCTTCTTTGTCCAAGATAAAAGTAGATTTTAAACAATCACCATCATTTGATTCTAAATTAACAGGTTCTGTCTTTATTTTAGGCTTTTCAAATTCCACGGTGATTGGTGTTCCTTCATTGAGTGTTCCATTATTATTATTGTTATTATTATTAGAATTGTCAACATTTGGTTTGATATCATGAGTAACTTTGACTCCAGGGATTTTAAGATCACCGCCAATTGTGGCACCACTAAGGAATACATCGAATGGATATAAGATGCGCTCGTAGTGTTGACGTAATAGAGATGATATTGTACCCTTATTGTTGGGATTTACTGTAGTTTGTATAGATGATGATAGTAGAGTAACCAAAAATGGGTGTAGCAAGATGCAAGAGTAGAGGGAGAGAGAAAGAGAAAGAGGGAGAAATTAGTAAAGATGAGCCATGATGGAATAATTTATGTATTAAAAGTGAAAACACTTACAGTTAAAATTCATGCGACTTGCAACTTTGGACCATTTTCTTTCTCTTGTACATGTTTCAAAGCCTCCTTCTTCTGCGACAACTTTATGTAACGAGTAGAGATCAAGAACTTTCCTTTCAACTGTCGGTAATTTAAAAGGTGCTCCCTGAATAGGAAAATAAAATTACAAGAGAAAAGAGGTTAGGTTAATGTGACCATTGTAAAAGTAGTAACAAGATAAACAAAAAAAAATAGGAAAGGAGAGAGAGAAGGTCAAATGTACAGTCGATAGTAAATACTGGACACAGTTAGTCAATCAGTCTTAATGGTGATCAATCTGAGGGCAATAATCCCCCTCAATTGATTAACCAGTTAACTGATGAGCAAAAATATAAGTAAATGTAGACAATAATTAAATAACAGGGCATAAAAATAAGATAATCAAAATAATCAAAATGACACAAATCATTTGAGCTGTGTCACCCTTAATCTTTGACCTTATATATAACCTTATAAGGTTTTGTGACCAAAAAGTCAAGATTATTTTGGATAAATAAATGATAGTAATGATAATTATAATAATCAATTCCAATAAAGGTTCCTACCTTAACTTTGTCTTTGGTCAAGGTTCCCTTTAAAGGGCAAGTTTGTAAAAAAAAGAGAAAAGCAAATGAAACAAATGAATTTGTAGAAATATAAAAAAGTTGACAGAAACCTCAAATTAATAACGGAGATTAAAGATTAGTGAATTAGAGATTAGGGATAGACAACAATATGGGTTAAGAGATTTTGAAAAATATCGTTAGTTTGCAACAATAGGAAAAAAAGAATAGATTTGGACAGTTATTAATAAAAACAGTTTGAATTATGAGAGATGCTAATAATGGGAAGAAAGAGAGTGGGAGAGGGATGATAGAGATAGGTAGAGAGAGAGAGAGAGAGAGAGAGAGAAAGAAAGAGAGAAGGGGGAGTTTGAAGAATGGAAAGAGAAAGAAAGAGAGAGAGAGAGAAGACAGACAAAGGAAGATTTTTTTTAGAGCTAACAGAAAATGATGAATATGGAGATAGAGGTGATACACAAAGGGTGACAGAAAATTGAGTAACATTCACAACTGAATAAATAGGTGAAAATGAAGTTTCATTCATGAAAATTGAAGAGAAAAATTATAGGGAAAATCATGATGAGATAATTATTGATAAAGAATCGTAAGTGAGAAAGAAACAAATTCGCTTCAACAGAAATAGAACACGAGATGGAGAGATAGATTACTTGTTGACAAGAAAATTCTTTTCTTTTTTCTCAGTAATATTATTTTTTTACTTGCACAAGTAAAACGAAATAAAAATTACCTGTAAATCCCAATATTTGATTATTTGTTCCAAAAAATTTAATTTAACCCGTGTCTGTGCTTCCAATTCATTTAGTCGTTGAACCCTCGGGGTGAATCGAAATTTTTCAACATCAACCGCAAATGGAGGTTGAAAAGACTGTTGCAAGAAAAAAAGAAACAAAATTAACAGAAGAAAAAAAACAATTAAAAGAATGAGAAATTTAAAAGGAGGAAACAACATTAAATAAATTAGTTGTCATAATCATGATAATGGGATAAGTGTGAATGTGAATCAACATGAAAATAAATGAAGAAAATCATCTGAACCTGAGAAAGAAAGAGAGAGAGAGAGAAAGACACACACACACACTACCACCATTGTTATGAGAAAATAAAAAAAGACTCTAAATACTTACAGGGGGTGGTATGATTTTACAGATTCCATGTTTTTCAGCTAATGGTCTTATTTTAGAAATATACTCGAGCGGACCTTTGATAAAATCCTCTTCTGATGGACGAAATATGGGTGCCTCGGCTGGTGCAATGAATTCTGTTCCTGGTCCCATCCAAAATGCCTGGATTATTACACTATGTGTGTAATCAAACCCTTTGTCAAATCAATTTTCGGTTTTTATTTATTTTTGGTTTTCTCCTGATAAACACAATTCCAGGAAGAGTTAAAATGAGTTGATTAACATCTAATTAAACCAAATTAATAAATTACACTTATTGTTTTAAAAGATTATCGATAAAAATGAAACACAAAAATTGGACATTAATGTTTAGTCTTATTTTTAAATGGCTACCAAGTCAAAGTCTCTCTTTCTTTTCTTCTCTTTCTCTTTCCTCTCTCCGACGCCATCTGGTGGTTACAACTAGAAAAAAACTTTTTCTTTTTCTATTGTTTACATTTTGAAAAATTCTTTTTCTTTCAATTAATTTTGTCTTTTAATTTAATTCCATCTTCTTCTTTTTTTTTCTATTAATTTCTCATCGATTTTTTTATTTAATTGTTGTGTTAATTTTCTTCTCTCGCATCATTTGGAGAGAATCTTAGAAACTGTGTAAGTATTAATCACTTTTTGGTAGAATTAGTTTAATCTCTTGGTTACATGTGGTAGTGAATTTTTTTTATTATTATTTTGTTAATTTTTTTTATTTAAAGTAAATTTTGATTGAATTGTTTGAGATTTATTTTATCTGTTATATTGTTGTTTTTGTTTCCATTTGATTGTTTTCTAATTGATTCGTTTTTGTTTTTCATTTACAGAGAAATGGTTCATGCAAGGTATGCTAAAAGTAGTAAACATAAGAAGTTGAAAAGTGTTGATCCTGCTTATAAAACGCATTCGCAGCCGATTTCTAGTGCGAGAAAATCTAAGAAAAAAGCTCTAAGGGAAAAAGCGAGAGTAAAAAAATTGGCCGAGCAACATGTTCCTAAAAGAATGGCCGCTTTAATGGACATGGATGGTGAAGATTTTGAGGAGGAGAAACCAAAAAGAAAAAGAAAATCAAAATATGGACAATCTTTATTGAAAGGTAATTAGTTTATTGAATTTTTTAATTGTCACACATTTAGATTGTTGTGTGTGTGAGAGAGAGAGAGAGGGAAAAAGCAAAGATTAATAAAGATTGTTTCGTCTTCTAGTTACTACTAATATGGATGATGGAGATACTATTGGTGCCACTCGACCTCTCAAATCGATACCCGAGACTCTGCAACAAGGTCCATATGAAAGTCAACACTCATTTTTAAAACGATTGGATAAATTATGCAATAAAGTTCGTGGTGAAACTAAAATTGAAGCAAAATATAATTTGGGAGATAAAGTTGAAAAGGATGAAACCAAGACAAGTAACAAAATATTGAGACGACGAGAACGAGATAAGAAACGAAAATCTAAGAAAAAAAGAAACCGAGGCCAAAAGGATGACAACGATTTCCCGAAAACCGAATCAAATATATTTTTGCCTGCATAAACACAGTATAATTGTTATTATTAAACTATTATTTTGGTTCAACTAATTCAATAACAAGAACAATTTTGTTATTCTTTTAACTGGTTTAAACAACCGGCCATTTCCATTGGGTTTCTGATGGTGTTTTAACTAAAGGTTCCCAAACCTTATACTTTGCCATATTTCGAGCACATTTTAATTCATCCTCTGCGTGCCAAATCAATTCCTCCATTTGTAGTTTATATTTGGTCTCCATTCTCCTGTGATCAGGATCTTCTTCAAGATAAGCCAATCTTTCATTAATCAACTTCTCGGTGTGATTTCTATACCCAGATTCCTTTGGCATCGTTTGAACAACACTCAATATCCTCCTGTAGACGATAGATAAAGCCTGAAACCAGAAAATCACAATTAAATCAAAATCATCAGCAATTGAATCACAAAAATCAAACCAAAGAAAAAAAAATTAAATCTCTTCACATGCCAAAGAAACAAAACAAAATTAGACTTACCTGAACAGGCTTCTCAATAACAGCTAATCCAGCAAGTTTAGTCGTTGACTGGAATAGATTAATAGTCACAGATTAGTCATAAAATAATTAAATTGCAAATGATTTAATTCTTACCTTTAAAACAGCAGACATAATGATTAACTTAATTGAACAAAAATGTAAACAATAACCTTCAATTCAAAGCAAAATTTGCTAAGAAAATGAATAAGTTCGGGGATCGTATTCTCATTAAAAGATGTTTTTTGTACTTGGATTGAAAATATTTCGATTTCTTTTTTGAACTGAGCTGTTTAAGGAAATTTTAATCGAAGGTAGAATCTAATTAACATATAGAATATGGATACACTTGATTGGCACATTTATAGAAATGATTATAATGATTAATTGTCTGGGCTTCGATCAAGAAACGAAAATTGTTCATGATGAAAATTTCCGGATTCGGTTTTTTTGTGAGTTCGAAATAGAAAATTTTATAACGACATTATAATAGCATTGCCTTGGATCTTCAATTTGGTGGATGGTCTAATTGTGCTTAAATTGGTTCTTATTTCTCGCTCAATATTGTTCAATCGATTCAGAATTCACCTTAGTGATAAATAGAATCGCCATTCACTAATATCATCGAACTCTCTTTCGTGGTGTCTTTGATAACCATCTAAAGATCAATCTCAAGGTCGAAAAAAGTTCTAACTATAAAGGTCATTGCTTGGAATCCTTAAAATCAATTAATTTCAATTAAAAGAAAGTCAATTCAAATGAAATAAAAGACGAAAATTGTTCATATTTAAATAAGAACAAAAAACAACGAATTTCAATGATTAGCAATTAATCTGATTTCCAATGGAAAATTTCAATTGAATTCATGTGATTTGAAAGGTTTCAGAACTATTATCATGATATCAGCATGTTGATTGAAAGTTCATTTCATCAGATTGATAATTAATATTTAATTAATACACTTGAACCCATTCTAAGTTCAAGTTGATCAAAAGGAATTAGCAAAATAATACTTTCAATGCATAACTAAATCAACTAATATGTAATCATTGATCAGGTTTCCACCTTAATTATCAACGTAATCAGAGCACCAATGAGATATTTGGAAATGTCCATGTAAATATGATCAAAGTTTCATTGACACTTTCATCAAAATCTTGATTACTCTTAATCATTAACCTGATGATTACTATTAGTGAGTAAGAAAAAAAAATTAAATTCATAACTATGATAATCACTTAATCAAAGTTGATCAACTTTCGACGCATGTTAACTAATCACAATTAACGTTTCTCCATTCATTGGTAGTAGTACTTAATGGTCAACTCAGAGAGAAAATTAAATCAGTAGTAAATTGAGTCTAATTGTGTTAACATAATTCAAAGATGATTTATTTTTAATTTCCAATTGTAATTGTTTACTAAATTACTTTGTTCTCATCACAAGCAAACCAACAATCAACCGAAAACTTTGCTCTTTGATTGGAGAGAAAAAGAAAATCAGTTTAATTGTTAATCATGTGGAAATTATTTGATGTTGATTGGATTCGCAATGAATATTATGGAAAAATCGAACTACTAATTGTGGCAATATTGTTCTCACCAATCTTTTTAACTGGACTTTTGGGCAATTTATGGTTAATTGTGACAATCTTACGCAAAGAGATACCGGTAACATCGTCAACAATTTACACCTTGAGTCTTGCACTTTGTGATCTTTGTACAATCTTAGGACTTATACCAATGTTATTATCAACTTATGTAACTGAATCTTCAGAATCTTCATCATCAACTCCATCGCAATCATCATCTTTATCCTTAATTTCACCTTCAATGGCCTCATCAATGTGTATATTATCAGATACCCTTCGAGATATAACAGTTTCCGTTTCATCTTTGACCTTAATCGCCGTTTCCTTAGATCGTTATCTTGCCGTTCTATCAGCAGTGGCCTGGATGCAGAAGCAAGTTGATCGTAAACATCGTAACCTTGCACTGGGAACAATTTATCTAATTTGGTTAATATCAATCCTTTTGGCCTTACCAACCTCACTTTCCTCTCATTTAACACCAACTCAATTGACCTCAGGTACAACTCTACTCATATGCACACCAGGATTCACCTTTCTACCTCAACCAGGGTCACAAATATTGATCACAATGAAGACAATCATCTTCTACCTGTTCCCATTGATAATAACCTCTTATTGTTACTCAAATGTTGCTCGTAAATTGGTTTTCAATGTGAAAAACAAGTTAACTTATCGAAAAAGTTCAAAAGATCGAGCACTTCGAAAGGCCAGTTTTACCGTTCGATTGGCTTTCCTATTGGTCGGACTTTTTGCTCTCTCTTTTCTTCCTCATCATTTAGTTAATTTGTATTATTACTTTAAACCAATTAAATCAACTGAAGCCCTTTTCTGGCAAACAGCAAGAATTACATCATTCATGTGCATCTTTATTAATTCAGTTGTTAATCCGATCATAATCTGTAGTACATCTTGTCACCTCAAGAAATTAATCAAATCAAAGATCTCATTTCTCAAAGATATCTAATCAATAACAATAACAATTTATTTTTAATTGTAAATATTTGACGATCAACCAAAAACAAAATCCCAACAAGTAAAACCAATCAAAACAATTAAGATTCAAATTATGAATTATGAAAATGATTTAATCAATTTTATTAATAATAATATGAAACAATTTAATGTAATCAAATGAAACATTTAAATTTTGTACTTTTATATTCATTACGATTTAATCAAATTTAATTAAATTGATTCCAATTTGAAAATTGATTGTTTTTTGTTGTTGTTATTTTAAATTGATTACTATTAATATAATTTTTTTTTTTGCTATCGATCAATGAAATTAAATCATTTGGTAATTATTGATAATTTAATGATCTGTTTATGCAATTTAATGTACACATTTGGTTTGTCAAGTTAATAATTAGTTAATGGTTAGTTAATCATTTGAGGTTCAAAGTTAATTTGGTTGATTTTTTGGAAGACAATTTAATCTTCAATGTGTTTAAGTTGAATAACTGTTATGTTGATGAAAAAAAAATCTTAATTCGTTCATTAAATTGTTGAACCTCAATCACATTGATCGTCAACAACAATTAAGCTTCAGTTATTTACAGTAATTGACAGAGTTTAACTGGACATTGGTCAACATTTGATTCCTTATTCTTATTGTTTCAATTTCGTATTCAGGCCGAAAAAGGAAAAAAAATTATTTCGAATTGTCGATTTTTCTCGAAAACTTTGTTCATTCAACTATTAAACATAAATCACTAATTAATATCAACCAAATCGGTTTAGATGATTAAATATAGAAACATTAATTAGCCAATGTGATTAAAACTAATTCTAATTACTATCAGATTTATCTCTTGAACAGTTGATTAGTATCAAGATGATTAACTTGTGATTAGTAAATATCGTAGCCTTGACTCTACAAAATGACCTGAATCTAAATCTTATTGATCACAATTACCAACACACTTAATTGATTTAATTTAATTTCTGTATAAATGACTATTTGCCAATCAAAATGGTTGATCAAATCTACTCCAGTTACTGTTAATCCGAGTAAATGATTAATCTGAGAAATGTTGATTAACAAGGGAATTAACATTAACTTTGATATTGATCATTGATTTACCAATCACAATTGGATCAATTGATTAACCAAATCAATTGATCTGAATTTGGTGATAATTATTTATCCATGTGAGACCTTGAAATTAATATATCAGGTAAATCCATAAGTCTAATCAGTAAATTACTTTGATTAAACCAATAACACAATTTTAATCTAAAAAAGGTAAATTGTTAATCCAATAACTGGACAAGAAGGTCAATGGATTAAAATGATTTTTAATCAATCACATTGAAGATTAAATTGTGTTAATTTGGTTTACTTTTTTTTCACCTTTTTTCCGTCGTAATCAAATCAATTAAATTGATTCAAACTTGACCAATAAATAATACAAATACTAAATCACGTTAAGATTAATCAAATTACTTTTACAAACGATTAATTGGTTTACCAACTGAATCAGTGGTTGATTAAATTATTTTTTTATTCCATTCTTACAATTTAATATATAATCGTTTTAATCACGTTCCTAAATCTATGTGATTCCAATATTGGATAATAATAATAATAGAAAACAATATTTTCCAAATTATTATTATAACAATTTACGTTTCCATTGGTTTATCATTTACTAATTGTGATACTAATTATCTAATAGAACATCTATTTATAACAATTAACAAGTAAAATCAATTTCTCTTTTGTTTAAATAATAATAACAGTTAATTTTATCCAATCATTATAACGGTAAATTGAGAGGTGCTCATATTATATTTACGAGTGGACATTGTCCATTCAGGGGTTTGACATTTATGAAATATTATTAATATAAAATGATAATAATTTCACATTGAAACTTTTAATATATAACAATCAAACAATCTGATTGATTGTAGATGAACCTTAATCAGCTCATTTTCATTTGGTTAACTAATCAACTTTATCCATGTGAATTAAACATTCTTGTTGTCGATTGTTAATCTTTTAAACTCATTATTGGTACATGTGAATATGATTAATTGATTGTTATTAATATCTATTAGCATGTATCTAATTGATTTTATAATGTTCATTTAACTTATTAATCAGTAATTAAGGATTGTTGGACTTTATTGATTGTTTTCATTTCGTTCAACTTTCAAATTTGAATGTGTCAATGGAAACTAATCCAAGTCACATTTTCCTTTAATCAAAACAATTAAATTAACTTTAACCCGCCATTGGATTTATCTTAATCACTTACAATCAACGATAATAACTCTTTAATCATTTGTGTAAATAAAAGTGGACAATTTGTTAATCAAGCTCATTGACGTGATTAATTTACAATCTAACTGATGTAATAATTAATTCATCTTAAGCTACAATATCTTATTAACTATTGACGATCAAATTTAATCATCCCAAAGGTCGTTAACTACTAATGTAAGATTAATTTCGTAAACTAATTAAAAGTTAAAATAACAATTAACAATCAAATTGTGCGACAAAAAAAAAAGTAGCGCAAAGTTTGAAAATCATTATGGTGGTAACGTTTTGATTAGTTATTAATTGGCTAAATCATCAGCAGTTAATCAAGTTAATCAATGAACGATTACATTGACTTCCGTTAATCATATTAACGGTAAAAAAGTTTTCTCTTTACTTGTTAAGTCATAAAATTGTAATAGTGAGAAAAAAAATTTACTTTTTGCGATTTAATTGTCGCCTCATCTAAATGATGAGCAGTTAATATTAATTGAGAAAAAAAAGAAAATCAGTTAATTCCTTACAATCAAATATTATATCTAAATGTTTACAACTAATCAGTTGATTCTTCCCACGATTAACTTTTCTGTATTAAAGGTAATTGGGCTCTCGATATAAATACAAATAATATCGACAGGTAATAAGAATCAGAATAACATAAAAGTTAAATAAAGTTGGAAAAAAATGACCACTGGTCAATATCCTGATCTTTGACTTCATACATTGATGATGTCGATTGTTAAATGATGTAAGAACCAGAAAGTAATTTAGTTAAGAAACTGTTGATTAACTGTTTTCGTAAGAGAGAATCACAATTTTTTTCATCCTTTCCAATGGTCAAGTAGATTTAAGTTATACAAGAGATGATGAATATTGTAAGAGGGAGATGAAGATGAAGATGACCAAAAAAATTCATATTAATATTTGGATGAATTATCCGCATCATCATGATTACCGTTTGACGATTATCATCAGAATTAAGACTTTCATGATTACATAGACATTTGATAAGTTTCAGCGTCATGTTCATTCAACTCAATCAATTCAACTTACAATTTACTTGATTCATGTTATTTAGATTATGTTTTTTTACCTTTCAGGTTAATTGTTCATCTAATCATCAAGTTAATCATAAAATCATGAGTGAAAAAAGATACAAATTGTAGGATGAATAAAAAAATAACATCTAAGCACAAAAAACTTTGCACTTTTTTTTACGTATCAGTTGATTGTTGAGATTGTCACTAATTCACTAATTTAACAAATTAGCATCTCATTTGTAATTGTGAATTTATATTCAAGTCAGTGGTTAATAATTGAAAATTTCTGTTCAAATTGTCGCAAAGTTTAAACAAATTTTTAACTTGAAGAGTTTCAAATGACAGATAATAGACTAATTAAAATATTAGTTAAACTTGATGTTAGTTAATTGCTGGATTAATAATTTTACAATTATTATTACAACTTTAAAGTTACACAATGAATAGAATCAAATCAATTGTGATGTTTAATCAAGTTTTTTTTTTGATTTGTTAAGAGGAGAGTCATTGATATTTAATCACCAATAACATAAATGTATCTTTTTTCATGATTGATGTTACTATAAATATCGGATTAGTTGAAGTTCATTGGACAATTGTTGATGTTTATAAGTGTTACGTTTAGATTGACAAACGTTGATTTTTTTTCTCTTGCTTCATATTATCATCACCTTATTACATTTGAAAGTAAATGATGAGGATACGAAACAATTACGACATGGAAAACATAAGTTTTGATCAATTATCATTGTCATCATCATCGTCAGATCCACTTTCTCCATCGTCCGTTTCAAAAGTGTCATTGGGAATATCGTATAAAAGTAAAGCTGGTTTATTGGGATCCTTAAGAAGAAGATATTTGCCCTCAGGTAATTTCATGCAAGTATCTATGATGTATCGAAGGACACCCCAAGCATTGTCCATATTCAAATTAATTTGATCAGCAAATTCTTTAGGTTTAAATTGTTGAGTACCAAGGATTGAATGTTTAGTACTATCACGACTGTGAACTCGAGACACGTATCTAGGAAAATGAATATTGAGAATGAGAAATTCATGAGAAATCATAAAGAAAAAGTATTTTCCAAAATTCATGTGATTGATTTCATGGAACTTACCCAAATTTAATATAATCAGATCCTGCGAGAAGCGCTTGGACAGTCCATTTACCAAGTTTACAAGAGTTATTTTTCAATTCGTTTGCCAGAACTGCTCCTCGTTGTACATCCAATTTTTGTCGCCAATCAATTCCACCAGAGTGTCTTGAATCCCATTCATTAAGAGCCTTGATGTTCATAAATTGAATCTCATCTTTACCCGATCCATGAGTGACCGCATCATGTTCACAACGACAGATTAGCTGAATATCATCACCAAGATCAAATTTACGATATCGATAACCAACAGAAGCAACTTGTTCAATTTCATCTTCTGAAACGAATGGATTTTTTTCTGGAAATTCAAATCGTTCCTCTCCTTGTTTAAGAACTTGCTGTGAAAAGTTATGGTTAATGAATGTCGCTTCCAGAGCTAAATTTTTCGGCCAATTAATACTATTTTTGGTATCTTCATCGTAATAAGGTGGATCAGCGGCTGTCTCATTAACGGTAAGCAGATCAGATTCTGAGTCATCTCTCTTATCGAAAAATAATTTGTCACCAACTTTTTGAACAAGTAAATCCCATGAAATAACTGATCGAGTGGAACACATTAATGTAGCAATAATGGCATCGGTAGCATAAATGTTTCCTTCAGTTTTTGACAATTGACGGATAATTGGATCATCGGTGGTGGTAACTTTGTGGAAAACTCTATTCACTCTGATTAATCTTTTCTCATTTTTACAAGTCACTCTATCATAAAGTTTATCGTAAAAGTCCATAGCCCCACATTTTTTAATATCTTTAGGCTCAACAACAGAGGGTAATGATAGTTTACCCAAACGAGGAAAATCCATTTCTTCAATAATCTTCCATGTAGATTTAATAGCAACCGATGCTTCCCTTTTCTTCATAGCAGCAGCTCCTTTCTGATCATATCTACCTTTCATGCCGACATTTTTAGCAGGCCATTTACCACCTCGAGTCTGACCACCAACTGCACGACCTGAGCCTCTTAAATTTTTAGATAAAACTTGCATACCACCAGGACCAGATTTACCTCCTCTTGAACGAACCCTTTGACCAATCTTAAGTTTACCTCGTTGAACTTTAGTAGTACCCCGACCGGCATCAACCAACTGGAAGGAGCTCTCATCATCCTCTTGAATGTAAGCATATTGTGCACCTACACCAAACTGAGAATTGTATTTACTGGCCATTCGCTTATCGGCATAAGTTTGATTAGTCCAATCAGCAATCTAAATGAGAGAATAGAATAAATTTAATGGTAAAGAGAACAAAAATCAATCATAAATTTTAAATACAATTTAAATCTAAATTAAAGAACAAACCTTTCCAAGTCTATCAGATTTAGAGAAAGGCTGGTAAGGCATATCCTTATACGCTTCCGCTATGGAACAAGGTCCCCATCCTCTTGGATTGTCCTGAGTTTCAGGAGCTATAAATGGTTTTCTTTCCATAAATAAAATCCCAAAGTTTCCAATAAACAATTGAAAAAAAAGAAAATAAATTGACACAATTAAATTAATTCACTAAAAAAGGAACAATTATTTTCCGGTTATCAAATCAAATCAAAGAAAAATTTTGAACACGTTTAAGTGACTCCGGTTGGAGAGAAACAATAAATTCCAACAGGTGGAGCCACAAATCGAATTCAAATCAACCCAAAAGCAGAAAATAAAATAACCGCTTCTTTTGAATGGATTGAGAAAAATCTGATTATTAATTAACTAGAACTTTTCGAACTTTTAGAAGAAGGAAAAATCAACAAACCGATTCATCTAAATCGAAGAGTTTACTGTACATATGAAGAAAAAGAATATTAATTCATTTTTTTCGTCCTTTTTTTCACCGTAAAAGATTTCATATAATCCTTTCAATGGAAAAATTTAATTTTCTGATCAATAACATTGGAGAATTTGTTTTTCTGGCTCATTTTAAGGATTTGGATGATTGTTGATTTGGAGAGAAAGAAAAGCTTTACATATTAATCAGGGGAAAAGTGAATCAAATGGATTAATTAATTTAATTGGAATGGAAATTGGATCTATGAATAGTGAGAATAAGCTATTTTCACGAAAAATTGAATTTTCTCTCAGGTGATGAGAGAAATTCTTTGTGCGCATGCGCAGAAAGGGGAAAAAGAGAACATTTTCCCCATTGTTTACATGTGGTTGCCAAGGAAAAAATTAAACCAATTTTATTTTTCCTGAAGAAAATTTAATTTATATTTAATTTTAGTTTCAAATCTAAATTAGTTACTATTTATTTTTTGTTTTCTTCAAATAAGTTAATTGATTACAAATCAAAAGGTAATTGTAATTTTCTGTTTGTTCGTTTTACGTTTTTCAAATGATAAAAATAAGAATCCATATTCCATATTCTTGATTGTGTGTGTGAGTTTATCTCAATAGTGATTATTTTTTTCTCGATTCCACTTGACATTGCGAGAGCAGCAAAAATTGGGTTCCAATGGCTTTGGTGTTGAGTCAATTTTCACATAGTCATGCGTGACAACCGTAAAAGGACGAAATCTAAAGAGAAAGAAAGAGGAAAAAAATAGAAGACAGAGAGATAAAGAAAGAAGAAAAAAAAATATCAGAGAAAGTGAGATAGATAGAGAGAGAGAGAGAGAGAGAGAGAGAGAATTGAGTTTCACGAGTGAGAAAAAATGATAGAAATGATGATGAGAATGATGGAGTGAGAAAGGTGAATATAAGTGAGTCTTATTTATTTATTTCGCCATCTTGATCGAGATTATTTTCTCCTCTTAATTGTTTTTATTTGTAGTTGCAAATTATTAGTGTTTGTTGTGAGTTAATCAATTAGTTTTTTAATTATTTCTTTTATTCTTCTTTTTTCTTAATTTTCTTTACATATTATATACAAATTATTCTCTAATTTTGTTTTCTTCTTTTTTTTCTTTTCGTTTTTTTCTTCCTCTTCTTCTTCTGGTGATCATCTATTTTCCTTTTTATTGTTCATCATCACCATCAGCATCATCATGTCTTCTACTGGTGGTGGAACAACATCATCATCAACAACCACAACAGTAACAACCACATCAACGTCAACCACCTCATCTAGCAAGCTATCAACAACTGAGAGAGTGATCAAAAGTGTACCTCTACCACCACCTAATAAATTAACAAGTGGAGAAGTCTATGATTCAAAGACTAATAAGCCTCGCCCAGAAGTATTGAAAAATCATTTCATCTTAGAAGGAAGAATAGATGAAAATTGTGCACTAAGGATAATCAATGAAGGAGCAGCGTTATTACGAGCTGAAGACACCATGATTAACATAGAAGCACCGGTAACCGTTTGTGGTGATATTCATGGTCAATTTTACGATTTAATGAAATTATTTGATGTTGGAGGTTCCCCTTCAACCACGAAGTATTTATTTCTGGGTGATTATGTTGATAGAGGATATTTCAGTATTGAATGTGTTCTCTATTTATGGGCATTGAAAATAAATTACCCAAACACATTATTTTTATTGAGAGGTAACCATGAATGTCGCCATTTAACAGAATATTTTACTTTTAAAACTGAATGTAAGTATAATCACCATGATCCCTACTTTCTCTCTCACATACACACACACCAACTCTCTTACTCTATCTCTTAATCCACTATCTTCTTAATCCTTTTTTTCCTGTAAACTCCATTAGCCAACAATCCATTTCATATTGTTAATATATTTTTCATTAACTGACCTCAGTCTCTCTCTCTCTCTTACTCCTTCTCTCTTTCTCTAATTTAGTATCACTTTCTATTCTTGTATCTTATTCCAGTATTTTCCTATTTTTCTTCCCTCTTTCTCAATGTAATATTTTCTGTGTCTTCCATTTTATATCATATCACTATGATGGTAAATCAGGTCTTCTTTTCCCATTCCTGTGAATTTTTTTTTCAGCTTTTCTTCATTTTTGATCAAATATTATTATTCTATTCTAACAATTGTTTACATGGAAAGGGAAGCAAAGCTATACTCACCTATGGACTTTCCTTCAAATTCACTTAAATCATAAGACAGAGAAGGAGAAAAGTAATCAGATCGATAGAAGGATCAATGAAATGCAAACCTTTTCCACTCTCTTGCCATCCTTACTTTCTTCTCTCTCTCCCTCCCTCTCTCTCTTTCTCTCTCTCTCTCTCACCCACTCTTACCACCTTACTTTTCAGTCCCTTTTTTCTTACCATAATTTGTCAGGTTAATCTTTTTCTCTAAATTTATTCTCAAGATTCCCTCATGATCTGATCCCTTTTAATTCATATCAATTATTAATTTCATATTTACCGCTTTTATTTCATTTATTTTCTTCACCAAGATCATGATTTTTTCCCATCCTTCTCACAATATATCACCACACGAATCCAGACTCAATATTGAAAAGTAACTTTTGTTTACCTCTGTTTTTATCTATGTCACTATCATTGCGATTGTCTCATCATCCATACTCCTCTTATATTCCTCCTTCATTTCCATCTCCATCTTCATCTTTTTTGTTTCTTTAGAAAATGAAATCCAACTTCATTTTCAACAACCCAATGTTCATTAATTCATTCAATCCTCTCTCTCTCTCTTTTGCTACCTCTCTCTCTCAGTGTTTCCTTGTCGCTCTTTCTATTAGCAACAATTTTCACTCAAATTTTTTGTCTACTTCCCAAGTTTCCATGTTATTTTTTTGCCACTCATCCTCCTCATCCTCATCCTCATTCTTATCATCTTTTCATCATCCTTTGCTTCTTCCTTTCTCGTCATCTCTCTTCTTTTTTACCATTGTTCCTATTGACTTAACAACAAATAATGGTTACAATCTAAATTATCTTTCTCTCTATTAACAAGTAGCAAGTGAGAATACAAAGTGTAAAAACTTGGTAAATATACTCACAGAAAAGAGTAAAAGTCAAGTTATAGTTTAGTGTATGTTGTTAAAATCAAGGTATGTTAAGGTTAGAAAAGAGAGAGAGAGAGAGAGGGAGGGAGAGTGAGTAAGAGAATTATGATGAAAATGAAGAGAATAGAAAAAAAGATGATGAAGAAGAAGAAGAAGAGAAAAAAAGTAAAAGTGTAAAAGAGAAAAAAAAGAAAGAATCTAATTGGATATTTCTAGATGAAGATGAATAAGAGTCTGGGTTAGAATGAGATGAAGATGATCCTCCTTGATTTGATTAGAACACATATTCTAATCTACCAGAGATGTAATTTAACTTTAATCACTGTGAAGAAAAGATTAAGATTCGATTCTAATTTTTAACTGATAATCATTCAATTTTGGATGATTAAATTGCACCATTTAGCTGGATTAAGATGATTTCTAGTGATATTATTTACCTGTCGATTAATTTCCACGAGATTCATTTTTAATTGTTGCTAAAAGTTAACAAATTAGAAATTAATTTACAAACCTAAATGAAAAGCAACAAACATCCGCTTACGTTTTTTATATTTAATTGTTGTAATTACACCACAATGATAATTCAAACAGTTAATAAGACAAATTAGCTAATTATGATTAGTATATTAAAATGAGAGAGGCAGAAAAGTAATAAGCAATTTGTGTTAATTGTACTAATAGTTTTTTAATCAACCAGAAAGTAAATGAGAAAACAATTAATCAACAATAATAATAATCTAAAGTTTATTATTATTTTTTATTCACTCTAATGTTAATTATTGAAAACAATTTAATAATCATCATGAGTGAAATTCATTAACATCCTAATTGACTAGATTAATACAAATGATAAAATATTTGCAATGGATTAAGATTATCATTATGAGGAGTAAAAAAAAACAACCATTAGTCTATCAATCAATTAACATCATTTAATTAACATCGTTAATATCTGGTCAAAGTAACTGTTGTTTGATTGTGATGATGATATTATAATAATGATGAAGTATCAACGTAAAGTTAACTGTTATCATTGACAATTTATCGTTACCTTGCAAGTTTATCAAATGATGATTTACTGAAGTAACCTGTTTCTTTGGGTTGTTAAATGTGTTGTTGTCAATGATGATGATGATGATGATGATGATAATGTCCTTGGTGTAACTTTAATTCAATTGAATGTCTATGTTACCTGTTTCTTTTATCACCAATAAGGAAACCATGTTGATGTTAAAATCAGCAAAGGAAATATCCAATCAAAGGTTCCTTTTTCTTGATAATCTTTTTCTTGACCTTATATCATGTATATACTCATCTTTTAGGTTTAATGATAAAATGAAGATGAAGATGACGATACTGACGAGATGAAGAATGATGAAGATGAGAGAAGAGTAAAGAAAGTGAGAGAAAAAGAAAGAAAAAAAATCTGAGTATCAGGTTACCTTAAATCAAGACGAATACATGTAAACTTTTGGGTAGAAACTGAAAAGGAAAGATAAGGAACTAACATTATCATCATCATCTTCTCTCTCATTCTCATTCTCTCTCTCTTTCTCTTGCTTTCTTTCTCTATTTCTCCTCATCATTATCATCAAGATTGAATAGACATTGGAAAATAGATAACATCGAAAGATGAATAGACAGAGAGAAGTAGAAAGTGATGGAAGATGAGCAAGAAAAAAGCAGGTTAAGAATTCTGTTTGTGGACTTAACTGAAAAGATACTCAGGTAAAGATGAAGATAAGATGATACTGAGATGACGATGATTATGATGATTCAGAGATGTTGGTAATCTAAGTTTTATATGTACATTTATTTATTAATCAGAAATCTTCATGAATATATTCATATCTCCCTCTCACTCTCTCTCTCTCTCTTTTTCTCCCTATCTTACATATAAACCCAAGAATTGTAAGAAAATAATAAGAAAGAAATTTCCTATTATAATGACAATCGTAAATTTAATTGTAACACATAAAAAATAATTCTTATTGATTTTCAATCATCTTTTTCTTTCCTTCCCTTAAATTGACTTAATTATTTCTCAAGGATAATTAACTAATCATTTTCTCATCTTTTTCATTTTCTCACAGGCAAAATAAAATACTCTGAGAGGGTGTATGACGCTTGTATGAACGCATTTGATTGCCTTCCATTGGCTGCTCTTATGAATGGTCAATTTTTATGTGTTCATGGAGGTAAATATGATTTAAATGACATTTTTCTTTAGATTATCCTTTAACTAATTGAACAATTAACTAAATTATCTTGTTTTCTTATTCTTTATTCCTTTAGGTTTATCCCCTGAAATCCATAGTCTCGATGATATCAAGAGGTTAGATCGTTTTAAGGAGCCACCGGCTTTTGGGCCAATGTGTGATCTGTTATGGTCAGTTTTACTTATTTCATGGACACAATTGTTTTCCATTGGAAAATTTAAACCATTGAAACAATTTCACAGAGAAGAGAAAATTCTTGTACACTTGGACATTCATTTAATGAAGAAATTATCAACTAATCAACAATCTATATTAGCATTATTATAATGCTTATCAGACTGAGATCCATAACGAGAATAGTTGAATTGATTTTGCACGAAAATATCCCGTTACTTTTTAACCCAAATACTTTGGATTGAAGATTAACATGAGATCAAAGGGGATATAAGAGTAGACCATTTTGTCTGTTAAATGTTACCAGGGATCAAAAAGGACTTAAAAAGAGCTTGGAAAGAATGGAGATAATCATGATCATCTTTGAGAATCCACAATCTAAACAAGTTGATTTGCAAAATGAAATAATTTATATATATAAATCTGTGAATTTGTATCCCATGAATCGTGAATTTCACTCAATCGTTATCCTTTTATAGTTACCAATTGACCTGAAATCGAATCATTGGAGTAAAGTTTCTCTTCTTTTTCTTTTCTTCCATTAATTCAGGTCTGACCCTCTAGAGGATTTTGGTAATGAGAAAAGTGGAATCGAGCATTTTACTCATAATTCAGTTAGAGGTTGCTCGTACTTTTATTCGTACGGTGCATGTTGTGACTTTCTTCAGCAAAATAATTTATTAAGTATCATAAGAGCCCATGAAGCTCAGGATGCAGGGTAAGTTACTATTCATTTATTATTATACATACACACTAGTAAATCATGGACACACAAAATTTCCCCAATCAAATTAATTGATTTTTAAATTGTGATGAAAAAACAAACAAACATGAATAATACAATTATCATGTTGCTTTCTTTATCATTTGTAACCTCTGTTGGAAATATTTTGGCAACAACAACACGAGAAAATTTAAAGAGACCAAAAGTGATTTAAAGTAGTATTTTCATCTGTTTAAAAGAGATGCAGAGAGAGAGAGAGAGAGAGAGAGAGAGAGAGAGAGAGTGAGTGAGAGGAGGAAGAGACTATGATAAAAATGAGAAGTTATATTGATGAAGAGAGAGAATGAGAAGAAAAGAAAGAAAGAGATATTCGAAAAATAGAAAGAGGAAGACGAAAGTTGCTTAGTATTTGTTGGGGGATCGATAAAATGGTCTTGAAGGTGTACTTGAAGGCTCATTGAATAAACTGGTTACTATTAAAGAGGAAGAAGAAAGTAGAATGATGAAAATGATGGTGATGATAAAAAGAGGAAGAGAGGGAGTCACATATTCTATGTTACTCTCTCTCTCTCTCTCTTTTCCTCTCTCTATGTTTTACTGTTGATGTTATTTTATTGTTATTGTTGTAATTTCATTGAAAAGGCGCAGTCTCACCCTAAATTCAACTGAAAAGGCTCGTTAACCTTATCAAACTGATTTGGTAACAATTTATTACCTGAAAACCCAACCTGCAAAACCTTATTATTATCATCATTTTCTGCATCTTCATCCTGATACCTGTTCTCCCATGAATATATCTAATCTATCTGATAAAAAGGTCCAGTTACCTGAGCTCGAAACCAAAATGTTTTCAGTGTTAATGATTCATTTTGATGCTCAATCATTTTAGTTTATTTTTTTTTTCTTCATTGATTTTATAAGAATTTTTTTTCTCCTTCTTTTCACCTTTGCAACATTGCGTGTGAGGTTATGCAGATACCTGTTTGTTATCATTTGATTATTATTACATTTGTAATAATAATGATGCTGAATTGATGTCAAAGTTGATGATCTATTTATCTATGTACTTTGACCTCACCCAATAAGAAAGAGAGAGAGAGAGAGAATGAGAAAGATGAAGAATGATGATGATGAATGTTGAAAATTTTCTCCTTTTACTTATTTTCTGCTCGCTGATATTCATACATGATGATAGACTTCCTATCAAATTTTGCTTCTCATGCACGAAATTATCTTGAAACTACTTTCAAGATTACATGATTAATTGCAGATTATTAGGATGCAAATTTAATTAAGACAAAATTATAATTGGAAAACAACAAGAGATAACCTGACAATGGCAACGGTTTCTTCATTAACTTGAACATTTTCATCTTACCTCTTACATTATGTTGATGATTTTAACCAATCGGCCAATCAATTAGTTAAATTAATCAACAAGTAGACGCTTACTTTTCGTGTGCTTTTGATTTAATTGGAAAATTTGATTAACTAGTCTAATACGAAAATAATTATACAATATGCAATCAGTCAATTGATTAATTGTGTATTCAGAATATTGTTTATTACCATTATTTTGTACATAAAGATGCTAATAATTATATTACAATAATGATTATATTTTCTGTATTTTCAATGTGTATGAATAATGATGAAACAAACATAATCTAATGTTGATGTCTACTATTAATGATGATGATGATTTTGATAAAAGATGATGATGAGAATGATAATCAGTTTAAGTTAAATTGAACTTTCATCAGAACTTTGGTTACATCCATCAAGCTAAATGTCATTTTCTTTGTTATTCTCATGAGGAAAAAAAAACTCTTATCATCTTCACTTCTCTCTCACTTTTTGTCTTCTTTTTTTCTTCATCCCTTTGACACACATTATTTGAATTGCATCCTCCCCATTTACTCCCACTCTTCCTCATCCTTTTCCTTCATCATCATCATCATCTCCCTAGTTACTCAATCAAACAAAATGATCTCAATGAATATGAACCATGGAGAAACATTGAAATATTGTAACCTGAAAAAATCTCTCGATTGCAATTTAATCATGATTATCATTAATATCGTTGATCATGCGTATGAATTTTGAGAAAAAAAAATCCCTGTTAACTATTATCATCACAATTTACGAAAAAAAAAAACTCTTCTAATGATTAAGAACTTAAAGATTGGTAACCAATGCATAATTATCGTTAACTGATTTTTAATTGTTCACCAATTAACCAGAATTTATTTATCTCTCTATTTTCTTTATGTTATTTTCAAGTGTCAATCTTCCCAATTCTCAAATGCTTATTACCCTTAATCCACTTGAATTGTTTAATTAATTAGTTTTACAAGAAATTCAATGTGATAACATGATTAATCTTTGAGGACAATTTAGTTTCTCTCTTCCTTCAATTGTTAATCAACATTGAATAACAATTAATTTATAATTATTACCTAAAAAAAACTCATCAACTTATAATTTGAAAATTTGTTTGTTTTAAACTCATCATGTTGACCTAAATTTTTCCCCTCTCACTCTCACTGGGCAATTTAGATTGACCAATATCTTGAAATTTAATTGAAAACAATTAACTGACCAGTGAAATTAATATAACCTTTTATTATTATCACTGTTAATTTTACGTGATTATAGTTAATCTTAACTACCACTAAGGTGTGTTAATTGTCAAACAAGAAATTTGTGATTAACATGATTAGAAATAACATTTTATATATTCTATCTGATTATTTTTCATCACCCTGAATTTTGACACTTATATTAATGTCAACAACCAAACCTCTCTCTCGAATAGATTTAGTTTTCTATTTTTATTCTGAATAGTTCTGAATTACCTTTTTAATAATCGCAAAGATATCATGACAATATTTTCAATCTAATTATCTTTTTTTAAACACTTAATTTGCAAGAAGAAAACATAATAAACAAGAAAAGAAAAGGACATCAACATGAGAACTGAAATGAAACTCGATGTTCAATATGGAACATGATAGAAAACTGTACGTGTCTTTTACTTTCACTCGAATTATTGTATATATAAAATGTTAGAACTTTTTTCTTTTCCACCCACTCCACCCACTTTTTTCTTCTTCTTTTTTTCTCTATTCTCTTTTATTATGATATCATTTTGATCCAGAATTCTAGGTTCTATCTTTCTCTCTCTCTTCTCTTTCTCTATGTCCCATAAGATTTATTCCATTTCGACTTTTTTTTCTTCTTCTTCTTCCTCATTTTCTGGTCATTTCATCATCCAATTCCATTCGAAACATATTCTATCTCATATTCTATTCTTTACTACTGTCCCAAATGTTTTTATTCCACCAGAATTCTGATGGAAACTCTCATGATTATTATGTGAATTTTTTATCACATGAGTAAATGTAATGAATAAATTTCATCTTTAGAACAAGAAAAACAAAAAAAAACGAAATCTTTTCAGTTAATTCAACTGATTTACTTGTGAATTAGATTTAGTTACTTATTGGTTGTTATTATTTACGATCATCATTAAGATGATGATCTTTGATTATCGATTAATCCTCTTGTATAATTAATATCGATATAATTTATTAATTACCCTTTACCTTTATATTATCACCAATACTTTTATTTTATGTTACAGATTTAATTATTTACAATCGATTGCAAGTTAATAGTTAATTTACTCAAGGAAAATAGTAACAACTAATATTTTTTTTTTCTTCTCCATATATAAATTGTTATTAATTATTCAATATTGAAAATCTTCATGGGGATTTTGCTGATTCTTTGTTTTCAATGAGAGTCTTTGTATTCATGATGATGATGATGATGATGATTAGTTAATCAATAGTTACCTATTATCTTGATTATCTTAATGAAGAGCATCTTTATCATCCTTAATTGTTCATCAACTCATCTTTTCATCTCTTCTTGTTTAATTAAGAATAGGAAAACAAAAACAAAACTTTCGATACTCATTTCAAGATAATTAATGAAAATAATGATAAATTGTATTAACTATTTACATGATGGATTATGATACAGTTAAATTAATAAAGATTTGTGATTATTTTGAATTTAATCACAAATCCCTTGTAATCATTTATAATAATTTTACTCTAATCTCCATTCAAGTTTATTGATCTTATATTCAAACTTAATTATATTAATAATAATAAAATTAATAATCATTAATCAAATGTGTGTCCAATTGAACAATTAAATGATATGATATTGTTAAGTTAACTCAATTGTATCATTGAGTTTTTAATTGTAAAGGGAATATGATTGAATTATAATTAATATTTGCAATTTAAATTAAGTTTTTTTTTAGTGCCAATAATTGTTGTATGTTGATTAAGTTAATTGTTGTGTCTATTTGTTGATTATTTCTCTAATTAAATACCAACAACAATTACAATTTAATACAAGCAAATGTATTAAGGACTACAGGGAGTCAATTTTGTGATAACACTGAGATTGACAGTTTCATTTGATTACAAGTTAAATTGTTGATGTCATTTTTAATCAACATTTGATTATTAATCTTAAATATGTTGTTCATTTAATAATCAAGTTAATCATCTTTTACTATCCTTCATTTTATTATCCATCTAATTGATACACTGAATAATAATATCAGGTTATCCTCATGTTTACCAACTCTCATCATGAAAGTGAATTAAATTTTTCAATTTCTATCAAGAATAAATTGATTTTCGTTTCTGTTTTTCTTTCAGAGAAAATTATTTATGTCATTCAATGCACTTCTCTCTCTCTCTCTCCCTCCCCATGAACCCCTGAAAATTTCTGAATCAAAAAGTTAGTCTGAATTACTTGAGAATCCTTAGTCTCAATGTTGTATTTTTTTCTCACTCATGGTAAACATGAACTTTGGGTTGACAGTTTTTTTTTTCATTAGCAGTTCTCACATCTCGATATTGATCTCCAACACTGGAATTACAGGTGACAATATATATCGATAGCTG